TCCAACAGTAACATTTCTTAATGTTGTAACAGCCTTGTCTGGAATAGGATTTGCTGCTCTTACATCTACACCCAACATGCTAGTGACTCTCTACAACACTGACAGACAGGTGAGTGATATATATACTGTACTGTACTAGATAACTGCAATACTAACAATTAGTTGAGTGATATGTGTTAGTGACATATATTAGTGGCCCTATAATACTAAATGTATGTATATAACTATGATACTGACAGTCAGACTATGTGTTATACTGTATGTTAGTGACTTCAGTACTGATTGAGTGAAAGTTGATTATGGTTCTCCCTTTTCTTAGTATCATTGAGTAACTTGAAAAGAGACTTGCATAACCTTGTGTTAGGTACAGTATACAAGCTTTTTCTAAACATAAATGTACATTTTATATTATTTGCTAAAATAGCATACAGTACTGTACTATATTAGGCTTTTAACCAAGGGAGTATGTAGGGTGTGACAGTAATCTCCATTTTCTTAGAGATTGCCTCCTTTATATGGATGAAAGGTTGGATTAACATTAAGGAGAGAACAAGAGGGGATAGAGAGAGTAAAGGAGGTTTTAAGTGATAGAGAGACTTGGAGATTCCTCTTCCATGGCCACCTCAGAAGGGAGCTTCCTGGAAGAGCTCGGCATTGTTGACAAAATAATATAAAGAGACTTTCTTTATTTTTTTTATTCTAGAAACTTTATTTTTATCTAAATATTCAAAGCTAGTTTGCAATTACTAGACAGTACTGTAATTATAAAAGTATTTTACCACTGCTAAATGCCTGACAGTCATTCAGTGCTATGAATTAATTTTCAAGATATTTGATCTCCAGTCATTATATGAGGAAACATCTTAATACTTTGGTCTTGTGTCATTAACCAGGATTGTGGTGAAAGGTTTCAATCTCTTTTTAATCTACTGTATATCAAGTAAAATCCTTAGGGGAAAACCACATTGTCCACAGATTATGCTGTCCACTGAAGTGTGTACAGGAATGAAGTGTATTAGTGACAAAATGGGCAAAAAGAAAGAGAGAGGAGTGAAACCTTTATACTGACTTGGTCAATATTTATTCCACAGTTGTACCTATGGGATGACAGCAACCAGGATGGGAGTGAGGAAAGAGGACTTGGTACAGATGTAGCAGTGTTGGACACTGCCTACTTTCTCTCCCAGATAGTGTTGTCAGTGTGCATGGGTCCATTAGTAGACTTGACTGGTTCTTCACTGCCATACATGATAGTGGCAACATTAACTGGAATGGTCTCGGTGTACTGCAGTTCACGTGTGGTCTTCACAGATCGTCACTTGAAGCAACTCAGGGCAGGAGCCTTTTAATGTGCTGACCTTAGTGGCCTTACAAACTTTTGTGATGAAGTCAAGTTTATAGAGCTTAAAATTAATGACTGTGGTGTTATATTCATTCAGGAATGATATATGATGTTTTAGTTTAATTTAATTGCCAAGTAATATTAACTAGTTTTATTTACTGTATGCAGCTTTTTTCAGCCATGCAAGCCATATCTTAGTACAGGTATCCCTTGTTTAACGATGGGGTTGCACGCCTGAAAACCTAACGCTCAGCAAAATTTTTGCTAAACTGGGGATAACAGCAAAGTACAGAGGGTGAACAACAGGTTCAAACAGCAGGGTGGTAAACACTGAGTACAGTACGTACTGTACTCCCAAATAATAATAATAAACGAGTTTGTTTTAAACGGTTTCGAAGTTAAAATTTTATATAAACAATGTAGTTCAGAGTTAAACAGTTTCTTGAGCACAAAGTGATCCTAATTCGATCATTTCAAATTGCATATATCAAACATTATCAATAATTGCTATGATATACAATAAAATTGATACATTGCATATCATTAAATACAATAGCAAATATTTTATGTACAAAAAATAGCTCCTTCCACACTCAAACCATACTCTGGGTGATGCCACACAGTTCAGCCGGGCAGTCAAATAGCTGAATCAGGGACGTGTGGCTGTTGCTGCACTGTGTGGATGTTGTGACGTCACATGGGGAGAGGGCTGGGCTGGCAACGTGGTTACAGCAGTCCACTGCCTCCACACGTATGTTCATTCCCATACATACACATCCATGCTCTTCATTTTTCTTATTCTAAAGTTTTATATTTTATTTTATTTATTTCTAAGCCACTTTAAAGTATTGTAGTGATTTTTACACAACTTTTACAGTTTCATCTCATGTAACAGGCCACCTCATCGCCAGTTTTCCACTTCCCAGTGAGTCAATGTATCTCTTAACCGAATTTTTATAAACATTAAGTGAGAAAGTGTGTAAAAAAAGAAATTATCACTGAAGCGAATTAATGTTAAATGAATTAACGCTAAACGGGGGATAACTGTATGTGTAGGGTGGCTAGGCAGGTGTTAATCCCTTGACTCATAGCATTCAGCAGCTAATGAGCTACCCAACCCCCTTGGTTGCATGCTAGTTCATTGAAGGGTTATTAGGTAAGTATTGGCATGTGCACCCATTAATGTATTCATTTTATTGGTTAGTGTGCAAGAGTAAGTACAGTACATAAGGAAGGAGCCCAGTCCTCCTATCTGACGAGGAATCAGACCTGGGACTAATGTATTCATGCTCTCTCACTAAGCCATCGAAGCACAAATATTTATGAAGTACTGTACAGTTAATATAAAACATAAAATGTTGCAAGTTTTTGCTGCATTTTTTATACACAAATAGTATTTGAATTTTTATGAACATATTATTACCAATGTCCTGAATTGAATATAACACAGTTATTTAAATTTGCAACTGTTCTATATAGAATTAAAATTTCATTTAAATTTTGTAGTTGTTTTGATGTAGGATTTTTCATAGTATAGGCACTATTATTTTCACTTTGTAGATCAGACAGTCATGAAAATAAAATGATCTTTCACAAAACAAGCTCTTTCTACACACAATACGAATGTCAAAATCTTGGAAGAAACAATGATACAGACAAGAAGGTCTAAGGTTACCACGTCTTTATGTAATGTAAACTTTTTCAGCGAGGCAAATTGACACAGTGCTTTTCACCACAGTTTGTTCAGAGTGTATGGCTAATTGTACCATAATACTGTACTGTATATATAAAGGACCTTGCTTTCTACATCCTTTGTACAGTACTCATTTTGTATAGTATATACAGTATGTGCTATCAGAGTTCCTTTCTGGATAGCATTAGATGAACAGTAATACACCTAATGTTCAAATATAATTCTTCCATATTTGCTCTCTCGTCCATGAATGGTATTTGTTATCATATATTTTTCTTTACATGTTTGAATCATTATGGCTGCTGAGTGACATGTTTAGAAATGGTAGTTAGTGTACATTTAGTTATATTTTATTTACTAGTAATTATAATTGTAAAAGTTTTGTTAAATATAAAGTTTATTTTACATCAGTTCCTTTGGTTAAATTATACAGTAAGCTCTGCCACAGTCAATCATTTGATTGAATTATCCTAGAAGGTCTAACATGGTACAGTAGTTTGTTTCATTTTATTCTCTGACAAACTCTAATATGGTAGCAGTTAGTATTTTGTCATGTAAACATTCCTTCTGCTCATTACCTTTTGAAACTAAAAGGATTCTGCCACACTATGAATATATTAAGTACATCCAAGTAGTTGTTTTTTGTTTTCCCAATGAGAATTCTCTTTTCAAGGGCAAGGGTTAGTATTTCTAGTGGTTTGTTGTATGAAAGTTTGGTTATGATAAAATTTTTTACTCCTTAGTCCAGATGCCAACTGATGGATGTTGTCAATTTGCCATCATTCTGTCTCTGTCCATCCATCTGTTAGTTTCTGCTTATCATTTTGATGGATTTGATGTAATCTCCTCAAATTCACATCATTGGGTTTTCATCCAGTTACCCTTTCAGATGAGTTTGAAGAGGAATGTCCTTGAAAAAGTTTTCGAGTTCACATGACCATTTATTGGTAAAATTAGCTGAAGGTAATTACACTGCTTTTTAGTGTTCTTGTCAACTTTAGATATCGTAAAAAAAATCACACAACATGTACAGGTGAGACAGAAAGATTAATTTCATAAATATTATGGATTCGGATGATCTGAGGGTACAGTACAGAGATTTGTCATTTATATTACCAGTGAATAAAAAAGGAAGTGAAATAGTGCAGCAAAAGTGGAACATTAGGTATAAAGCAGTAACTTAACCCTCAAGACAACATATTCCAGCTTTAGATATAATAATACAAAATTTCTTTACTATCATTGGGGATGAATTAAATCCCAGAGGAAACACTGGTGTGGATACTGTGAATATTGTTTCCCATTAAGGTTAGTATTTTGTGTGGGTAGTTCTGTATTGTATCATCTCAAGAGTCATGCTTAATATACGTGTACTCTTAAGATTCTCTGTTACTATTCACAGGTTGGAATTTTTCATTCCTCTGGTTTTTATTGTTAATTTTCCTATCTTTTAAAGTTAAAATGTGTTCAGAATATAAACTGCACAAATATGTTCGTAGTGGGTGACAGCATGAATAAATTAGAGTAAATATTTTTGCATATATGGCTTGATTTTCTTTATTTTTCCTGTTGCTATAATTTTATATGTACAGGTATGAGCGTACTTAGCTACACAATATCACAGGTTTCTGGAAATAATTATGTGAACCCGCTAAGCATTTTCATCTGAGAAACTAGTTTGTTTCCCTATCCTTCTTGTGATATCACCAGATTCTAAAATTTCTTGAAAATTACTGTAATATATTATTGGTAAGGGAATATAGACAATATTTATTTTGTTTGAATTACCGGTATACTTCAATAGAGATTATTTTTTTCTTTTATAGGCTTTATATTTTGAATCTTATTATTTTACAATATTTTTACCTAAGTCAATAGGTTGTGTTTGTCCAAAGTTATGACAAAGGTTTTTAATATACTGTACATGGAAGAAATGTTTGCCTATGTTGCCTCAAAATAAATTTTTTATCATAAAGACTTGCTGCATGCCTTGATATTATAACAAATAGGAGAAGTATTTTTTTACCATTTATATTGCACAGACAGGTTTGTTACTATTTTATTTAGTTAAATGGACGTAGCTGCCGTTCGTATATGGTCATGATTACTTTTTGTATCATGAGAGTAGGCTTAGGGATGTTTTGGAAGTTAATTGTGCTTTCCCTTACCAGTGTTCAACAAATGAAGAGTTCAACTGTAATACATTAGTAACACACTGTTTGTGTTCTATGGTTCAGTTACTTTAATAGTATGTACTGGTACTGCTTTGATGTGAAAGGTCTGCAGTGTTGTGGAGTGGCATCAATACAATTAATTTATATTTTATTCGGTGAAATGAAATTAACCCTTTCAATATGATGCCTTAACTTTCTGAGTACAATATCATTGTTCTCCAGGGAATGAGTCTTAAGAAATAAAAAGAGGTAAAAACAATATGTTCAAGGGATTAAGTCATTGTGCTCAAAGGGTTGAGTCATACTCAAAGGGTAAAGATATCTTACTCACTGGGTTGACTCATTGTTGCAGAGGGTTGGCATTGTACTGAAAGGAGTAATGTTTGCAATTAAGATTCAGGAAAGTTGTAGTGTTAGATGACTTTTAATGTGTTCAAAACAGAAAAAAAAGGATTCTCATGATTGCTGTGACCATAACAAGAGGTTTCATGTCCTGTAGTAGCATTGTGTTCATTGTTGCCATCCATTGGTTGCAAATATGTACCGTAATACTGTATGGTGTACTGAAAGCGCAAGTATACAGTATAGACTAATTTGAAATAAACTGTATAGCTTTTATTTCATGAATCTGTTTTTGGTGTTGACACATTTTTTACATAGTGAAGAAGAGTCGCAAATCATTATCCAGTTTTCTCTGCCATGTAATATTTGTTAACATTATGATGCTCATTTTGTGATAATTCTAACATCTTGTTGCATATTTTTCCATTGTACTGATTACCTCATGTGTTCAAAACTAATTTTGAATAATCTAGACAATCATTTAAAACAATAATATTTAAATTTCATTATCAGTCATTAATTTGTTATTAATAGAATGAAAAGGTGAATACAGTGTATATTCTACTTTGGTAATTACAGTATGTCTAAAAGTTTAATTCACAATTTTTTCTAATTTTCTCACCAAAATTTTTAATAGTACAAAATTAAGAACTTATTAATACTGGTATATTTAAAGAAGGCTTTCTCAAGTGTTTCATTGTCAATGTGATATTTTACTACAGTATATCCAGCATCAAAATATAAAGAATATTATATCCAATTCCTTCAGGGTGTTTCTGTTGTGTCTGATAAATAATTAATTAATATTCCATGACACACCATCTGCTGTATTACAATCATTCAAACACTTAAAAATTTACCTTGTCACTGAACATCCAGATATACTCCCTTTACACAAACCTCCTTTCTTCAAGCTTCATTTATCTGTTCTTCAACCACTACATCAAACAATATATTATCATCTCAACCTTATGATACACATTTGGAAGATTTGCATCCAGTCATTAAGAAAGCTATTGCACAATGATAAGACTCTCAACTCAGTGTTCTGAAAGGCAGATATGGCTGACAGGTGGAGGGGGGGAGCTTTGTGAAATATATTGTGTGTGTGTGTGTGTGTGTGTGTGTGAGGCTGGTTATTGTTGATGTGTTAGTTTTAAGACCCTAACCCAGTTAATGCCTCTCACCTGGGATTTGCCAAGTGGATGAGGTAAAGTATGCTAGCTTTAATTAAGGTGCTGTCATTTTTCTTGTTACAATCCTATACAGTATTTCACTCATACATGTCTGAGTGAACAACATTCTTATCTATCATGTCTCTTGATACTTTCAAGTTTGTAAGATTGTAGGAGCTTATTGTAGTGAGTGGGATATTTGGGTGGTAAATTTTTAGATGTGAACTACCACTGTAACCATATACTGGACTGTAGATCTGTGGCAGTAAGTGACTTGTCATAAACTTACTCTGTCAGGCAATGTCAAATAGGTCTATATATTAGTCTTGTTTAGCATTGGTTGCCATGCTATCAGAATGAATTTACACATCCTGTACTGTACTGTTAAATCATACCATTAAATTTTTACTTGTGATAGTTTAACTTAAGCTTTTTTCAGATTGAATTGAGTATTTTTTTTGTGTATAACCTGAAAACACTTGTGTTGTACAGTACTTAACTCTTTTCTCCAGGATGATAATAGAACTTGTGTATTTCCTGGATTTTCCTCTTAATTAACAGCTCTTGTACACATATGGTTGAGATAAAGAACCTTTCATGTAAGGCTTAAATATAGGGATGGAATATTTATAATTTTAGTGGTGGGATTTTTTTTAATTGACCTTACTGTATTTTATTAATATTGTTCATATTTGGAAAAGTAAGAAAATTGAAAGATGAACAATTACGTACAGTATTACAGTCATAATGGTGATGACACAAAGCAAAATACATTCAGATTTTAATATTCACTGCAGTAAGAAGTTACATTTTGAAGAAAATAGCAACATCGATGATAGAAATCTGTTTGTTTGTTAAATTAACAATACGTACTGTATTAGGGTCAGGACAATCAGATAAATGTATTGTATTAATATAATAGTATGGGAAAATGATTTATTTTCATAAAATTAATTTCAATTGAAGTTGATAATTAGCAGATTGTGGTTTAATTTACCTTGAATTTTGTTTTGGGCCATGTCGAGATTAAACAAAGGAGAGAAGGTTTAATGTGGTATTTTGAAGTTCTTTGAACACCTATTAGGACATAGCAATTAGTATTTGTGAAGACCTGTACATTATTTCAATAACAGGCACAGTAGCTGAAAATATTTGATACCAATATTCATACTGGATGAAGAGATTTTAGTGGCTTCAATAATTTTAGATATTGGTACCATAGATTTGTAATTATTTCATCATGAAATTGGTAAATAGAAAAATGCAAACTTAGAATTCTCCAAACCTGGTGAGTGAATGAATTTCTCTGAAAATGTTAGGGATAAAGGTCATTATAGTACTGTGAATAAGAAGGCTTTGTGATGAATCATGTTTATTGTACTGTACTGACAAATTTGTGATATTTGAAGAGCCACCAATGAAAAGCTGTTGGATGATTTTTTTTTTATTAATATATCCGGTATGAAGACATTGGTACAGTTGCAGAAATATGTTCCTACACCCTAAGTGGTAACTTGTGTCTCCAAACAGCCAACCTATACAGCGTTGCTCTTTGCAGACACGGGCTACCACAGGGGGTTGTAAGAACACATTTCTGTTACTACAGGAAGGAATTATGTACTGTAGTTATAAAATTAATAATATACTGTACTATGACAGGTTCTTAGTTTAACAGATTGGTTCTCACTCTATGACAGGTTATTAACCATCACAGGTTCTTTGTCTAACTATGGCAGGTTTTTGGGAGTAGTATTAATAGTATCTGTTGAGACCTAATAAACCCAAACTAAACCGACATAGAGTGACCATCAGGACTGGCTTGTGAACCAGTGACCTACATAGCCTGGTAGTTGAATTATAATTACTAATATGCTCTTAGGCCTTGATTTAAAGGCCTCTTCCTCCAATCTGGCCTGGATTAGAGGGGTTATACTGTATATTGGCAAATGCTTACCCAAATTTTCCAGTCTACCTTTTCATCAGCTTGAAGAGTTGTGTCATCTATGGATTTAGAAAAGTTCCAAATAGAGTAGATAGAAAAGTACATAATTTGGAAAATTTGTGGGGTAGATGGGAAATAGTTGAGGGAACTGCGGGGGACTAAAACAAACTGCTGATGATTGAGGTTTTTTGTGTGTGTAAAGCACCAGGGGGAACTAGACATAATCAGGTCCTTGTGAAAGATGAGTACCACAGTATACATCTGCTACAGCAATAAAAGTAAATGAATAGACTGTCAGATTTCAGATTTGTCACACCAAGGGTTTGCTCTTGATTCTGGCTACTCTGTAGTGCTAAGAAAATACAAGCCAATGAAGTCTCCATGTTGATTTGATGCCATTTTGGATATTCATTGCGATATTACAGTACTTTAAATCAGTCAGTTACATTCATTTTAGATTTCTGATATGTATGAAAATCTAGTCTATAAATCTTGGAGAAATAATGTTGGCTGAAAACCAAACCAAAATATAAAATCTAGACAGATTAACATCAGTTATAAAACAAAAATTGCGAAGAGAAACAGTCAGCCCAGACATATAAATATATTAGTTACCGCTATATTATAAGTTTTCTTTCAAATACATATTCGTTACATTTTATTTGGACGTCCTTCAAGCCAAGATTTTACTTTTATCCCCTTCACCACTGATAGGCTCGTTAGCCGCTTGGGCCATTTACAGCAGAGAGACAGGTGAGATTCTATGATATTCCATCGGTAAGTGTTGATGATGTAATTAAGTTATATCACGTAGAAGTGGAAGTAAGAAGAATGGCTACAATCATATGGTTAACTTTCAGGCTGCTGTTATTCAGGTTTTCCGGGGGTGGAAGCAAGACAAGACTTGACATCAGTTTATGGCTAATATTGACGATATCCTCGTCGCTTCGGAATTTGTTTGATGGATCTTTTACTATGTTTTCATAGGTGACTTCAGACATAATATTCATTTCTTGTTTGGTAGATAAGTAGAACCCTAGACTGGCACTACCTTGTCTTTCTTGGCGATAAAACGGCATGGCGGATGTAAATTGAACATGGCGCAGCCAATCAAAATGAAGAACACTATCAGACGCCCCGGGCCGCCGGCGTTTCCCGCCAGTCCAAATTTCGTCATGGCAAGCAAAAGGCCTTTCCGATCTTATGTGGATATTATTTGTGAATTCAGGGGGAAAGATGACCTCATCCTATAGTTTTCACAGAGCACAGGTTTGGTTTAACTTGGACCTGTAAAACTGTGAAATTACGGTGTTTTAAAATTAATTATCTCAGAAAATTCGGCGATGGTCGTGTCGTCAACAATTACTCCTGCACGAGGGGTGGCATCATGCCGCCTCCAAGTATTAAAGCTCCTTGCTTAGTTTACCTTCAGCAGTGTGGGAGTTCTGGAACTGAAAATTCCGTACATATATTCATTTCCTCTTCAATGCCTTCTTCCATTATAGTTTCACCAAGTTTGCAGCGTTGATGTCCGTCTCTACAACCTGGCCAGGTTAGAGTCCATGAAGTGTAGTTGCTTGTACGCTGAAGAACAAGTTTACGGATTAAAAATTGGGACTCAAGTCAATAGGTCACGAGGTGTCATCCATACTATCCTTTTCGCCACTGATCGGCATGTTACTCCTGTTAGCCACTTTGTGTGGTCAGTCACGTCGCTGTTACTGTGTTTACGCACTGTTGGCAAGTTCTCCAGAATGTATCAGAACCTGCGCCTGTGTTTTTGTTAATATAATTATCGCTTATGAGCTACCTAACCGTTCGGGCGGTTGGTGTATCTAGTGTCAGTTCAGTAGGAAACCCGACCCTGGGAAACCTGTGATGGGTAGGGTCACGCTGGATACCTTTCTCATGTTTCTAGGCCAATTGTTACCAATTGTATCAAGTCAAGTCTGGTCTTGTAAGAGCTATTACTCAGTGCCGTCACAACATTCCAGAACAAGAGTTGGATGATATTCGTTTTTTATCCCAATATGTATTTCGGCGCTAGTAAACGTCAAGTAGGTTGTAAACGTTGGCACTTTTCGTTAATTGACGAAAACCATGATGGAACTGTATGAGTTTAACAGGAACGAACCTCTGAGCAAATTAAACTAAAATTCATCAGTGCTCACTGATTTTTATGCTAAACAAAGCAATATGGCAGCGTACTGTAACAGCATTATAAGAGAAATTGATGAGAGATTGATATCGGGTGCGAGTCAATAGTAGTAGTACATGTATTGCCACATTTCCATAGATGGTAAATATCTATCACAAATGTCGAGGCCACATGAAAAAATATACTTGTCCATTCCAACTTATTTGTTTATAATGACGTCAAACCGACGGATGACGTCCTCGGTTGACTGGCAAGCGTAACCTTAATATTAGTAGAATTGGCAGAGCACATTAACCCCTAATCCATCCATCTGATTCCATCACAAAGTACAGGTGTTGTTGAGCGTGACGTCATCATGTGTGCCAGTTTCTCTTGAGTGAAAAACAGTCGGGTTTTTTTTTGTATACACCACCAATGTTTAAATATTTCAAACATGTTGTTCGAACAGTATTGCTATATGTAGAAAATTGCAGTATGTAAAACGAATTATTAGAGTTGAATTTGAAAATGACCAAGGGTGAACTACTGTACAGTACGTCTGGCAGAGGATTGTGTACATATGTGGCAGTCAACAGGTGTTTAATGGGGTGTCGTGTCCCAGTAGGTGCACCTGTTTCACTTGCCAGTGAGTATAAGTGAGGGAAACAAGTACATTATTGTGGGGAAAATAAACAGACTAAGAAAGTGAGCACACTGAGGTAAAGGATCGCGAAAAATTTAGAGTGAAGATCAGTGGAAATTCGCGGGTAGTGGATAAGTGCTGGCAACTGCTGTTTCGTGACCGTCATACAAGGTGTTTTATTATTATTATTATTATTTATTGGGCAACCCCCCCCCCTGCCCCCTATATCCTTGTGTAAGGTGAAGCGCAGAAGCGTTTACAGCGCCCAACAGAGAAGCATGCTAAGTTCATGCTTGCCTTATGTCTCATGAGTTAAGGGCGTAGAAGCCTGAAGAGTCAAGGGCGTAGAAGCCTGAAGTGTCAATGGTTTTATGTCTAAGCAAGTTATCGGAAGCTCCAACAACTTGTCCCTGAATACGAATTCGCAAGTTTCGATTTACAGCAGGTACCTACTTTGCTGCTAGGTGAACAGGGACCAAGGGGACTAGGAAGAGTGTCCAAACAACTTCCGGCGGCCCGGGAAACACAAGGTGTTGATTGGTTGAGGTACCTGAACAAGATTATAATTTGGCTAGTTCGTGAAGTCTGGTTTAGAAACGACTCAGGAAGTTTCAGCCAGTTTACGGGATACGGGTACGATACTCGCAGTCACTTGTCCCACTCCCACCTCTCCTTTATATTAACAAAAAGGAAGTGTACAACAGTGATATCTATGCTTGTATTTACTATGTAATTAACAATTCTTTATTCCTTTAAATATATAGTTAGTGAATGCACTTTTTCCATTATCCTGTTTTTCACTTTATTATTCCTGAGATGACATCATTAATTTGAAGTTGTCATGAAAAGCTTCTATGAGTGCGAATTTGCATCGACTAATTTATAATGTACCTCCTAGTCATGAAATATGCGCCCCACACATCTGTTCGCTCAGGGTCGCTTACTTTATACATGTTGTCTCAAATAGAAATTCGTGTTTATATATAACATTATAAAAAATGTAGATGACAATGTGATTTTACTTTATAATTTTTTCAGATGTGTTTAGGGCGGGTGTTGACGGCTGTGGTACTCCTAACAGCTGCTAGGGGCGCCTCCATCACACAGGAAGCGCTGAGAGGACACCAGGTATGTTATGAGTAACGTTAAGAAAAATGTATAGTTCACTCTTTGTTACCCAAAATTTATGTTTGTATATGTATGGCGATGTGACACACATTATTATAATTCAGCATTTTATGTGTTGAGTACATATTTGTAGCTGAGTCAGTCAGCTGTCGATTACTGACATGATAGACTCGCCGAGAAAACTTTAGCCAATCAATGCAGACGTAGATTATATTCCAATTTTGTTTGTTACGCATGGGTATAAAGTATAGATACAGTCGTAATTAATGTGTGTGGTGACAGTGTCCTTAACTGAATATGAATATACCGCTAATTGAATATCAAAACTAATCTAGATATGAATAAATGTATCTAAAAACTACCTAACCTTTACATATTTGCACATGGTAATGAAGTCAGCCTGATTCATAATTACAGTGTCTCAAAAATATTACCACTTTCAGGTATGGGAGGTTAGCGGCGGTCTTGTTCCACAGCACCTGGTGATGACTGGCTTGGTGGACCCTCTGGATCACTCTGGACCTTCACGCTCCATTAGGGTCGCTCCTGAGTTTGCCAGCAAGGTGAAGGAATCCCTACACCGAGCTGACCTCACCTACCGGATCCTTGTCCATGACCTTTCCACTTACCTAGAGGTGAGTGTGGCGGAGGGTAGATGTTTTTGTTACCACTATTAAGCAGTTTAATAGTGTGTCTGTTGTCCTCACTGAGACAACGCCAGGTAGTGTTTGTGTTCCTTTCCTGCCAATGTTCATGTCATAGACCCAATATCTCACTCTTTACTCTCTGCCTCGTAGCCTTGTACCCTGCTTGTAAGTCCTTCATTAACACTGTACTCTTTAAAAACCTTGCACCTAAAGCCTAAGAACACACCCAACCCTTCACACAATACAACCCCGACCCCACAACACTACCCCATCTTTCACATTACATCTCACCTCATAACTCCAACCCCACAACATGTCTCACAACACCTACTGTACCCCACGACACACCCCTCACATTACAATTCACTCCAACACACCTCAAGCTCATCTGCTTCCCTGAGTACCTATGACTTTTTGATTCAGTTAAGTACCTGAATATATTGTATTACTGTATTCCACCACGTTTTCCAGGAGGAGGAGGTACGAGAAGGAAGGTCAAGGCGGGACGCAGAAAACATCACCTGTACCTGCTCGTCCTGCCTTGAGCCACTACACTCACAGTACATGAGCTTCTGTCAGGTGAGTGACTCTCTTCTATATTATTTAACTACTACTCTACCAGAATTAATTATCTAACTCCTGAATTATTTATCCACTACCTTAATCAATTTGGTGGTTGGTATTTACTTACTACTAAATTTATTTTGCCAAAAAACTATGGCTTAGTTCGCTACATGGATCTTATCATATATTATAGACCCAAAGTATAAGCTCTTCATGTTATGAATATAGTGAAAGTAGATCCCACAGCACTGCACTTAACTGCCTTCACTTCCCCAGCTGTAAAGGTGCAGTAGTTACTCATTCACAGTTAAGTGAAATGGGAGTGTAGTCACAAACCAGTGAGAGTCTTTGGACAGGAGGTGGGTGCTATATCCACTCAGACGCAAAACTATGTGATATTTCTTGGCCTCTAATTGAATGAGAGTTTTCTGGCCGTATTCTTGCAACCAGTCGCCTGAATTGCTTGGAAATAGGAGGAAGTCTTCTAAGGAGTCCTCAGATCTGAGTAGCAAGTGGTCAGCTTTCGTTGCTGTCTATGAGGGATGAACTAATAAGCAAATCATCAGCATATTGCTACAGATGAACTTTCAAGTAAATCTGTGTCACAATACCAAGCTGGCCAGAGGATAACATTTAGATCAACAGATAGCATAACACGCTTGATTACTCTTCCTTTGTTTTGACTCCATGGTTGCATAGAGTTGATGCTTTCTGGACCTGTGGATGTGTTTCTCCCAGTGACAGGTTCGATTTAGGTCTATTCAGCTTTCATTTAGGTTCAATTAGCTTCCATTTATGTCCAATTAGTTTCCATTTAGGTACTTTTAGGGGATTAAAGTGATCCTGAACTTGACAGTAAGCACAGAAACTAATGAAAATAACTGTTAATCTAATTCCTCACTAATCCAGTTCACTAATTTTTTACGGTCTTACCACAGCACTGATAATCAACGGATTTTTGTGTATCAGAGATTACCTTAAAGATTCACACTTACCACGACACCAGTGAAATTTGTTCTCATATTATTAACATCTTCTGTATAGACTTGGCTTCAAAACACAATATCGTGCCAATTTTCCCCCCAAATGACCACTTAATATGTTAGGTGTACTGTATCTTTGTGTGTACCGCTCACAAGTGCAGTACATTAGTTTCACATTATTTTACATACCCTAAACATTTATATATCTAAGTGCTGTGCAAATATTTGAAAAATGTAAATTCAAATCCCTTTTTTTTTTTTAAACTTTGCTGTCCCAATTTCACACTTTAGCGTGATTGTAAGTTACCACACGGCTATCCTACAGATAGAGAGGTTCCTGGCAGACATGGCACAAACCTACCCCGACAGGATCAATGTAACTTCCATTGGCAAGTCGGTTGAGGGCCGCGATATTTGGCTGGCTCACCTTAAACCCACGAACCCATTGGACAAATCCATCTGGGTGGAGGCTGGTGAGTTCCTTGTTGCTGCTCTTGCTGAAAACTAATGTTGAAGAAAATTTACAAACGTTTAGGCCATAGATGTGCTGATCTAGACGGATCATATCTTGAAGAGGTCAATAAATATCTAGGGTCAAAACATACATCCACCTTCCCGCGGTATATCCCCAGGTATTTCTCAAAGGAGTGATGAGATTTACCTTGTGGTAATCAGGACACCATGCCATCAGGTTATCTTGACTAACCCACATAGGCGAGGGAACTGGTCGTAAAATGGTGATGATGAAGATGATTTCTGGACCGGACTCAGGAAACATGATTAGAGGAATAATCCAGTCCACCTGATAGAGACTTGACTTGGAAATTAGTTTACTTATTGGATACATGGCTTAAGAATTAGTACCCTCCCATTTTTGGGGGACCTCTCAGAATTACATCACATCAAAGAGTGGGGGAAAAGTATCCTGCATAATTTAAGGATGTAGCATTTACCTGGACAGTTAACAACTAAAGTAATTAAAAATATAGTTAAACTTATTACTGATGATATTCTTAGTGTGATTAAATGAAGCAGCTTAAATTTCACATTCCTGTACACACATTTTTTAACTGGTCTGTAATCAGTTATGGCCTTGAAGGTTTTGTTAGAGATGATGGCTGAAAATTGAACTTATTATTTCGAAAGAGACATAAGGTTATGTTACACTCAGAACACATGAACCCAACATACTGATTTCTGTACGCTTGTATCAGGCCTGCATGCCCGGGAGTGGATCTCGCCAGCTGTGGCTCTGCACCTCATCCACCGCCTGATCCACAACTCATCCATGGCTGGAATAGATGCCTTTATCATACCGATGGCCAACCCAGATGGTTATGTCTACACTTGGACTACCAATCGTTTCTGGAGAAAGAACCGCAGGATTTTGGCCAGTAATTGTGATGGGGTTGACCTCAACCGCAACTGGGATTTCCATTTTGGTGTGGGCGCCTCCACTGATCCTTGCAGCGAAGTGTACAAAGGACCATCTGCCTTTTCTGAACCGGAGACTCGGGCTCTACGTGATGCTATGCTGAAAGAGAAAGATAATATGGTGCTGGTGTTGGCTCTACACAGTTTTGGACAGAACCTGCTGTACCCGTGGGGCTGGTCCAAAACTGTCCAAGCACCTGGCAGGGATGAGCTCATCGCCACAGGAAAAGTGTTCACTTTCGCTGCCAGGAAGGCCACAGATGTGAAATACAATGTAATAAACTCTGCTGGAGACTTTTATTTTGCATCTGGGGCCACTGATGACTGGGCCTTGGGGATGCTCAAGACCAAGTACGCATACACACTGGAGCTGAGGGACAAGGGGACTTGGGGCTTCTCCCTTCCATCAGATAACATCGCTGACTGCAGCGAGGAAGTGTGGCAGGGACTCAACGCTATGGTCAACGATATTGTCTCTTAAAATTTTAGCTATCTCATATATATATATATATATATATATATATATATATATATATATATATATATATATATATATATATATATATATATATATATATATATATATATATATATATATATATATATTGGTATATATATTTATTCACTGGCCAGAAGGACTGTACTATATTGTATCACCTGCAGGACTTATTACTGTCACCAAGTCCTTAAGTATTCATTCTCGCCTAAAGTAAAGGAGCTGTCTCATATATTATTATAGTAATTTTTTAGACAAGAAGCATAAACATCCCAACAGTGTTTTGGTGGCCAGTATCAAGAGATCACTTACCACCAACAAAAATATCACTAAATATCGCTAAAATGTTAACATCTGATTTTATTATTGAACTAATCTTACTAAGAATAATAGGCAGTAATATCTCTAAGTCTATTACAGAAAATGCAGAAAACGCATCTTGAAAATATAGAATTCCTCTCACGAATCTACTTGTAAACTCATCAACCTTCACCTGTCAGTCACTACTCAGATATGTCCAGGTATAGAAATACCGGTCAAAAGTACCCCAGTGTGATTAGGCCCCAACCTAATCTAACCATGTGGATTAGGGTCGAGTCCTGATGGGTGTCAGACCTAATAGTCCCCAAAATAATCATCAGGATGGTCCTCAGTGTTAATGGTTAGCTAGGGACATGTTAGGATTATGGCTCATTTGACCTACAGCCAAACACATGTATTTGAAATTGATTTAAGATTATGAAGACATATTATCCCGGTAAGGATGGATTAACGAGGGCGTAACAATAATTGATAAACTTGGCAAACTGTTGATGTTTTTCCAATACAACCTTCTTTACCATCTACCATAATCCACACCACCTACCATGATCTACACACCACCTACCGTGTTCCACACCACCTACCATGATCCACACACCACCTTCCATGATCCACACCATATACCATGATCCACACCATGTACCATGATCCACACACCACCTACCATGTTCCACACCACCTACCATGATCCACACACCACCTACCATGATTCACACACCACCTACCATGATCCACACCATCTACCATGATCCACACACCACCTACCATGATCCACACACCACCTACCATGATCCACACCATCTACCATGATCCACACACCACCTACCATGATTCACACACCACCTACCATGATCCACACCATCTACCATGATCGACACACCACCTACCATGATTCACACACCACCACCATTACCATGATCCACACCATCTAACATGATCCACACACCACCTACCATGATTCACACACCACCTACCATGATCCACACCATCTACCATGATCCACACACCACCTACCATGATTCACACACCACCTGCCATGATCCACACCATCTACCATGATCCACACACCACCTACCATGATCCACACCACCTACCATGATCCACACACCACCTACCATGATCCACACATCACCTACCATGATCCACACACCACTTACCATGATCCACACAGCACCTACCATGATCCACACCAACTACCATGACCCCACCACTTACCATTGCGATCGACCGAGGGTGAATATCGGTCATTATCCCGGCAAAGATTGACAGCTGTAGGGCGGTCAGTGGACACACCTACAGTATATATGACGGCCGTAATAACACTTGTCACCATATCGACACATGTGACGATTTCGTAACTGACTAAACCTGTGGTGGTCTACTATTACCTGTGACTGCAATAACGCCTGTGACTAATAACACCAGTGACAGTAATAACGCCTGTGACTGGTTCCAATAACACTCATGATCGGTATAATAGTAGCTGTGATAGGTTGTGATCAGTGTAGGTAGACATGTGACCCACCACACACAAATACACATTGCACCCAGTTAACCTTGGTCTACAAGTTAATAGTTAAAGTGAGTTAGCTTTGTTTAAAACCCGTCGTTCTCCAGTGGACTAGGTGCCCGACTACCACTCCTGATAAATTGTTCAGTAAATCGATAAATAGAACCTGAGAAAACCGCTACAACTGTATTCCCTTTGTGGACCTTAAAACACTGTTGAAATAAAATATGGGAGTTTGAGCTTAGTAAACGAAAGTATCAAGTTAAAAGAATACACCATTATTTACATTCCCCCATGACAGTACCTTTCACCTACCAGCAGAATGTACTGATTACTAACTCCCAGCTGGAAATGTTTATGATCGAGTTTGTTTTACTTGGCTGCTGTTGAAGTTTGGAGAGTTTGTAAAAGTAAATACAACACTTTGTCAAATATCACTTGCCCCCTCGGACAGTTAGCATCCCATTTGTACTTGGCTGAAAACCTCATACTCTTGGCCTGGGCATTCACGCAGCCATTATGTTAAGCTCTGTAGAGTTATAGGTGTCCCGTCTGTCTGTTGGCAGGTGGTTGTCACACGGTAAGTGACGTTACGTTGGATGCGTTGTAGTCAGACCCACACACAGACTCTCCAAACATGGTCGGTAACCCTCTTGATTTTCACCTTGGCTTGGGTTTTCTGCGAACCTGTTTACAGAAACTGATAAAACCATTATGAAGTGTGACAAGTAGAGATATATCATGGTAAGGGTAAACAAATAATTCATTAAAACATTGACTTTATTCAATTGTACAGTGCAGTAAGAAGTGTAGTGCTGTGAGAGGTAGTTGTATGGTGTCGTCTTGTACAAGTGTAGTCATGTCTGATGCTCCAGGCCGTCCAATACGTTGAGATGTTAGACAACATCAAGAAGTCTACAACTTCTGGGAGTAGATTCATCTGCACTGAATATCAATACAATATTGAAATAGTTAATTTAGAGCATGAATTTTTTTTTAGGATTTCCTTAATTAAAGTGGCCAGTTCAGGTCTTCAAGGTAGCACGATTTTGTTTTTGAAACCTATATAAAGGTGTCTACAGTGCCCGTCGGCCAAATATCAGAGTCGTACCAACATGTACAGGACCAAAGTTGGCCAAGTGATTTTTGGGATCCATAGACACAATGTAAAAATCTTCATACAAAGTCTCCAAAAACAATACAGTTCCAACTTTGAACCCCTGGACCCGAGCATCACACTTTAAATCTTTGCTTTGTGATGGTATTTGTAAATTACTTTTAGTGGCCACAAAATGTAAGTTAATGGTTCATGCTAACCAAAAACTTTTACTTGGCACCCATCCAACACTACTGGGTATATTTTTCTGGGGCGAGGGCCAGGAACACCATATTGAGTCCCTCCAACACCTCCTGCCCAGTTGGAAGGATCTCATCGGGGTCCAGAACGAAGCTGCTTTTATCACGAAGCTCGAGTGTATAGGAGTACGTGGTCTTTAGGACACCCTTGGCCCAGTCGTCAGTTGCGCCAGATGCAGGAGAAAAGCTACCGCTGCTCTTGACCACGTAGTTCTTGCCATGAACCGTCTTGACAGTGTTAGCAAATATTATGCCAAGCTGTTTCATTTCTTCTGTTTGTGGTGCTGGGTTACTGGCGGGGTTACCGTAGGGAAAGAGCAGCAGCTGGCCGTAGCTGTGCACTGCCATCACCATTTGGAGGGTGCCTGTGCTGTTCACCTGCAGCATTGCGTCTCGCAGGGCCTGAGTCTCTGGTTCAGAAAAGGCAGATGTTCCTCGATAAGTTTCACCGCAGGGATTAGGGGAGGCGCCCACACCGTAATCAAAGTCCCAGTTACGGTTAAGATCGACGCCGTCACATGAGCTGTCGGGGTTGTTTCTGCGGTTCTTACGCCAGAGGCGATTATTAGTCCAGGTGTGGACGTATCCATCAGGGTTTGCCATGGGCACTACGTAAACCTCCAGCCCCCGACCCATAGAGCAGTCATGAGTAATATTGTGAATGATTTGTAGAGTTACGGCTGGTGAGATCCATTCACGAGCGTGGATGCCTGACAATAACAGAAACAACCTTGTATGAGTTAAAGCTCTACTTACACAAATGTAAAAGAAAAACTCAGGAAAATAACAACTTTATGATATATAATGTGACAGTTCTTGGTCATATTTACTGTAGAGGTTATAGGCATACAAGAAAAAACAGGTCAAATATTCAAGTGTTTCCAAAAGTCCCTTCATGGTTGTGTTCACAGTTTCTTGAGGAACTACACATCCAAAACATGGGGTATTGTACTGTATGTTATCAATTTGTGCACATAACTGTAGTCTTCATTACCAAGTACACTGTGACTTACTCTTGCAGAGGGCTGTACAAGTTGCACACTGTACAAGTCACACGCTGTGCGAGACACAATGTGTATGTTGAGGAATTCAGTTCTGTGCAGATAATAATAGATGGCATTCCCGTGTTTTGGATGTGCAACTTCTTCAAGGTATTGTAAACACGACCGTCGAGTGACCGTGAACGACTACATCCCCTACTGGATATCCTTGAGCCTCAGATCATCCTCACGCCTTCAAGAGTTACAGCAGTGCCTGAGAAATGCACACATTGTACTTATGGGCTCCGCTGGCTTATTATTGAGCGACAAAGATAAAATTAATATTTTAATAGAGAGAGATATAATGTATACACGCTGCAAAAAGTATCTTTACGATTTTGTGAAGACATTATGACACGACGGACAAAGGATTTTGACAACCCTACCAAGACACCAGGAACTGCAGTGTTCATTTTGAAATTCATCCGACCCCTACTTAAAGATACTTTATGGAGCGAGTCACATACACTTAGCCTTAATAACACCCACCTCCCTCCAGCCAGACCGTCCGGCGCTTCATGGCAGAGTACGCAATACGCGGTGTCATGCCAATCGGTTCCTGACCTGTAGGGAAAGATCTCACGCATCATTACTATACCTTGACCCAGACAATACAACGCCACATGTAGCAAGCAGTCTATCAATACACACACAATACATCTCCCCAGATACCACGACAAAATTGCTTTGGTGGTCTGAGGAAAAAGTCAGGTAATTCATCTGTCAGTGAGAATTATATAGGTAGAAGTAACTGGCGTAACTTACAGCTGTCTTCAGTAATATTAATTATAATGTGGGACTACTGGGGGTGTAGACTACAAGGGATGAGGACTACATAGAGTAGAGACTACGCTGCTTGTAGACTGACACTAAAGGTTACTAGGGCTGTAGACCACAGCACAATAGACTACAGGGTACAGGGGCCACCCACCTTCACAACCAGAACGGTTGATGTGAACCATCCATATGTCACGACCCTCGATCGACTTGCCGATGGATGAAACACTAACTCTGGGGTGGCTGTTCAGCTGGGCCAAGTAGTACTCCATCTATTGGGGAAGGAGAGAGTTATAGTGAACCATCTGAATGCAATAGGTCACCACATGTAGGTGGGGTATAGTGAACTATGGGTGACAGGTGGTGGGATGTCTTACATTTAACAGAAGCCGAGACTGTTACTATAGTGATTGGTTGTTGGCAGTACGCCTCACATAGCAACTAACAGTCAGTCATCATTCACGAATTATGAGACTTACTAAGGCTGATAAAATTACCTATGCAGGTATGACTTTGTATGACCTTATGGTCAGATCTATACCTATTGGAAGGTCGTGTTAAACGTGAGGGACAAGATTTACCTGCTCAAAGGTCATGTAGTTGTCGGTGAGAGGGGCAGAGCAGTTTAATGAAGTACAGGTTTGGGCCGTCAGTCCAAATCGGACCTGGACCAGCGGTGTGACGTCGTTATCCTGAAATAAATACACATTATAATGGGACGCCTGAACCTGGTGCTGGGGTGATTGGTTTGATCTTTTGGAATGGCTTCAGATAGTCCAAATTTTGCCTAGTCTTTTGGATAAAAAAATCCTATTTTCAAAATACTATTTACTTTTGGTTATTCTGGGACGATTCTCATGCTGTAAAGTGGTTTCAAAGTTGTAGAATAATCCATTTTCCTTAGAAAATTTCAGTGCCAAAATACTCAATGTTCTTTGCCATAATGGTGAGTGTCAATGCTATGGTTACACAGATTCAGTCTAGACATAATTTGTAGTGTTTGCAGACACAAAATATATTGTTTTTAATGAACATATTCGGTCTGTTGAACCATAAATACAGTAAACAAAGTCAATACAATTTCAGGCACTGACCCGAAGATATCTTGCCAGGTCTTGGACGATGACCTGATAGGTGATGCCAGCCTGATCTAGGACCTCCTTCACCAGACCTGCCGTCTCGGGGGTGACCCTGAGGGAGGTTGATGGTCCCGAGTGGTCCAGCGGGTCCACCAGGCCATCCACAACCAGCTGCTGGACCGTGGCTTCGTCCTCCTGGTTCAGCTTCCATACCTGAGTCGACGATAATGATTTCACAGGTAAACAATTAATTAATTTATGTTGAGTTTGTTATATAATTTATCGATTCATCCAGTGTCACAATTTAACTAATTCATGTTTCTTTTTATAGTCACAAGATATTAATTAACATCACTATGAAAGATTATTAATATACGGGTATTTACGGTTATCAATGAAATTATTTGTGGCGATGATAACTTCATATTTATTATTAGTTTTATTATAATAAAGTAAGAAATTGTGCAAGCTTTACTGTTCTCAGACCCGTCCGGCATTACCATAATATATTCTGTGCTGACTGGGTCCATATACTGTACCCGTGTGGAGCCATTAAGCTGACTCATCTGAGAGTACAGTAGAGCCACTAAACTGACTCATCAGAGTGTGGAGCCATTAAACTTGCTTGCCTGGTGTTGAGTCATGAAGGTTTTCACGCACCTGATTACCAGTCAGTTCTCTGTAGTTATCAGAGGCGACAGAAGTGACGACAGCCAATAGGAAGACGCCCACCTGTTGCCAACACATCTGTACCAACACATCTCAGTCAGTATTACCAACACACCTCACTCAGTATTACCAACACACCTCAGTAATTATGACCACAGCACCATAGTCATCTATCTATCCATCCATCCATCTATCAATCTATCCAGCTCCATCATATGTGTGGCTGGAATTTTTTTCTGTTTGTAGAGTTCACCGTTAAGGGGGTTTACGACCGCGTCATTAAACAGGAGGAGGTGGTGTCGTCCGGCGAGGCACACGAGAGAGTGTGTGTAATTATGAGTCTAAATAATTAGTGTGTTTGGTATCTAAAATAAGTATCGTCAACTATTAATCCTCAATTAGTACATTATTAAAAAAATATATAAATCATCAGATATATTTAGGGGAGAAGAAATATGGTTAAAATCATTATCCAACACCTGATTTTTTTTACACCTATTAAGCTCGGGGATTAAAAAGGTGGCCCAGCATTTAAAGTTCTTTCGTAATCGGGTTATAACTTTTACGTAATCGGGATATAACTGTTATGTAATCGGGATATAACTCATGGTACAGGTCTTCGTCGAGCTGTGGGCTGATAGAGGGTTGATGGTATGTGTAGTGTATGTGTGTATTAGTTAGGGAATAATCTTGTGTGTGTTTGTGAGAAGAACCAGCATGCAAGAGTAATTGTAGAGTCAAGATTCGTGTTCCTGTTATTGTGTGCAGTATTTAAGTGACGTGAGTTTTGGCGCCGGAAAAGGGCAACACCCCCCAGCTTATATGCAGGGTTCATTGACTTCCTCTTCCATCTCCCACCCGTAACTTACCAAACATAAACTTAACCTAACCTACTTACGATTGAATAAAGCATAATTTTTACATAAATCTAAGTTACAGTGAATAATAATAATATCGCTGTGTTGGTGGAACAGTTGATGTTTGCTTATCTCACCACCGCAGTCGCGCGTTCAAATTCCTGGTTCGGATGTGTGACCTTGAAGGGACAGAGAAGCGAAACAAAGGTTGATTTTCCCGTAGAATATTACAACATTAGAGGCTGTGGGGGTCTTGTAAAATGCCAGGGATTTCTTCTCACGATATTGTGTGTGTGTGTGTGTTACCAACTGTAGGAGCATCGAGGCTACCATTATCCATGAACATCTACGTTGGACTGGTCATATTACCCGCGTGGACGACAGTAGACTGCCAAAGCAGCTACTTTACAGTCAGTCACCTAACGAATAGTAAACGTAACGCTGGCGGACAACTGAAAATGTATAAGGATAGTCTTAAAACAAACCAGAAAAGTGCCAAATCAACCCCCTCACCTGGGAGACGATTACTCCACACCGTAACGCTTGGAGGAGCACCACACGAGAAGGTGTCTACTGTATACTTTCGAGTTAGCCCGACTGCAAACCGAGGCAGACAAGCGCCAACGCCGGAAAGACGCTGCCGCCGCCCCTCTTCACTAGATGTAGCCCTCCACACGTGCAACATTTGTGGACGACCCTGCTGGTCTCGTATCGGCCTCTAGTCACCTCAGAGCTCACCAACCTAGGTGACATCCCTCATAACTCAAATCATTGTATCATACTGGATGATCTCATACTCGATTCCGAGTGACAGTAAAGTAATAGTAGTAGTATTAGTAGTGTGTGTGTGTTTCTGTAGGCTTAGGAGTCAGTCACGCCAACACACCTGAGTTTTTATGCATGTTTATATACCTAACGAATTGTCTACCTGCATTGTCAATATGCCTCCTGCTGAGTCACTATAAAACTTGTAGTATGATTTTACTGAATATCTTTCTATCGGATAAACAAAATTGGAGTGCCTAATTCATCGCACTAGTAAGGTCTTAATCTCTCTCTCACACACACACACACACACACACACACACACACACACACACTACTACTACTACTTTGCTGTCACTCGGAATCGAGTATGACGATCATCCAGCTATGAGACAATGATATTAGTTTTTAGGGATGTCACCTTCGTTGGTGAGCTCTGAGGTGACTAAAGAGGCCGATACGGAACCGGCAGGGTCGTTCACAGATGTTGCACGTGTGGAGGGCTTCATCTAGTGCGGGAGGGGCGGCGGCAGCATCTTTGCGGCGTTGGCGCTTGTACACATCCACCCACACGCGCTATTTCAAAAACATTAAGATGCCAAATTTGAACCCTATGTTAAATTCATATTTAAATAAAGTCACCTTCAAACTATTATATTTCACTATTTCACAGCTTTTGTTACTTATCTGGAATTAATTATTGTATAATTAGTTTGAAGTTATTGCGTTGGGAAGGTGAAAATATTATTGCATATACCGGATCGAAGTTGTTATACCCGAGCAAAGCTGTTGCGTCACCAGGGATGTAATTACCACTCAATCAATTCTTCATACCTGAGGAGTAAAGTTTAGCGAACAGTAAGCTTGAAAGACGCGGTAGAGACAGAGAACTTACCTTGGTACTGTGTGTAGGGGGGTTCTGTGCTGTGCTCCTTACTACACCACCGTTAAACACCAACTGGTCTAAGTAATGTGGAAGATAACAAGATGAACTGTCCTCCACGTGTCTCCTGTGACGCGGCGTACGCACGAGTACCCATGAGCGTGTTCGCACCGTCTCTGGGTATATTCGTATCAGCAAAGGTTTTTATTTTCTCTATCTCACTTGCTTTAATAATTATATATTTACATTAGAAACATAACTATACATAAATTATTGGTACCCAACATGTAAAGATTCTGTCGCAACTGCTGTTAATATTAGGAGGAAAATATTATCAATCCGAAGCCATGGTTGATGTCTGAACAACTGGTGACCAGTGATGCCGGCCACTTCAAAATAGATACTTATGTGCAATATAGTAAAATTGATGTCAGGATATGAACAACGTGATTTTTTGTGTAGTTATTGCTTATTTGTCTCTTACTGTTGATCGGAAATTTGTTGACTTATACGAACCTGTACGTTATGTGAAAAGACTTAACACTAGTGGCAACATGTTCAGCGTTTTTATGCTGACCAGGTAGGTGCCCACCTGCTATCAAATCTCCCACTTGCTAATTTTACCTTCCTCCTACAGTTTGTTCTTCTCTCCATCTCATCATCATCACACAGGTGGCCATCAGTTGAAAATGGCGTTTGATCACCACACATACACACACTCTCTCTGTAATGTTAGTCTTCTTCTTCCTCCTTCCTTCCTCTTCTTTTCTTTCTTTACGTTTTCCTCCTTCTTACTGTCTGTTTCCTCCTTTCCTTCCCCTCCCATCCAAGTTTCCTCATTTTTCATACCCTTTCTGATTTCTTTAGTTCCTATATTTTCTAATGCAAGTTGTCCCGACTGTATAATAGTTTAACATACTCTTATTTGCTTTTGTTTTACCTGTTTGTCGTATCATTTGTTATGTTTTTTTACTGCAGGGAAAAAAAATTGTGTATGTCGCTGATGCAAAGTAGGTTTTTGAAAGCTGGGTGGTAGTAAAAGTGTGTGTGTGTGTGTGTGTGTGTGTGTGTGTGTGTGTGTGTGTGTGTGTGTGTGTGTGTGTAATAATAATAATAATAATTAACGGTTTATTGAAAGAGCTTGGCAGCCAGAAGGCTGAAAATATACAGTTACATATTTGGGGAATGGGTTACGAATTACAAATAATATACAAGTAACATAAGTGACACAAATAAGACATATAATAACTTAGATGGGGATCAGCTCAAACTACAGTTCATTTCAACATAGTGACAGTGTAAGGAGCAGTGTTTACCGGGAGTGAATACACTGATTTATTACATGTTATTGATAATTTTTACAATGGTTGGGACTGGGCTGTGTGTGTGTGTGTGTGTGTGTGTGTGTGTGTGTGTGTGTGTGTGTGTGTGTGTGTGTGTGTGTGTGTGTGTGTGTGTGTGTGTGTGTGTTTTACGCACCTAAACGCTATGTAATGATTGATTGTCAGACCAAAGCTTACAGCCCAGAATTACAGCACATACAACAGCAATTGGATAAAATTATGGCTCACCGATAGAACGCAGACGGTCAGCGTAGATGGTGTTAAATCTGAGTGGGGCCGTGTAACCAGTGGGGTTCCCCAGGGGTCAGTACCAGGCCCACTCTTGTTCATAATCTACATAAACGATCTAGATACTGGGATCAGCAGTGACATAAGCAAGTTTGCGGATGACACCAAAATAGGGCGGCAGATAAATTCAGGGCAGGATACAAATGCATTACAGGAGGATCTAAATATACTGCAGGGGTGGTCTGAAAAATGGCGTACTTAATATTGGAAGAACAAATACTGACAATGTATACAGCCTTAACAACATCAACCTAGCGAAGTCGACTTGTGAAAGAGACCTAGGGGTACTTGTAAGCCCGGACCTACGGCCTAGAAAACAGTGCGTTAATGTTCGAAATAAGGCAAACAGAGTATTGGGTTTTATAACTAGAAGTGTAAGTAATAAGAGTGCAGAGGTCTTATTGCAACTATATCTTGCGCTAGTCAGGCCGCACCTCGATTATGCGGTTCAGTTCTGGTGCCCTTAATATAGAATGGATATCAATTCACTAGAGTCGGTGCAGCGAAGAATGACGAAAATGATTCCGGGACTTAGAAACCTTCCATATCAGGATAGGTTAAAGAAACTTAACTTGCATTCTCTAGAAAGACGAAGAGTGCGGGGAGATGTGATAGAAGTATTTAAGTGGGTGAAAGGATTCAATAAAGGGGATATAGATAAAGCTCTTATAATATCCGAGCAGGATAGGACTCGGAGCAATGGATTTAAGTTGGATAAGTTTAGGTTTAGGTGGGACATAGGAAGGAACTGGTTCACAAATAGGGTGGTGGACGAGTGGAACAAGCTTAGCAACTTTGTAGTAAGTGCGGGAACTCTGGAAAGTTTCAAAAGGAGGCTAGATAGATTCATGGATAATAGAGAGTGGTAGTAACTCTCGACAGGAGCTGCCATGCATAGGCCAACCGGCCTATTGTAGACTCCTTATTTTCTTATGTTCTTATGTAAGTACACTGCAGACCTCGTGGTACCCTGACATTCCAGGTAGACACACCCCAAGACCCTAGGGACCCGACCTCGCCGCTAATTAAGAACATAAGAATGGAGGAAACTGCAGCGGGCCTATTGGCCCATACTGGGCAGTCCCGTTTACACCCAACCCCTATTGTTCATATAAGCATCCAACCTATGTTTGAAGCTATTCAGCGTATTCGAGTTAATGATGATATTTGGTAACTTGTTCCATTCATCTACTACTCTGTTTCCAAACCAGTGTTTACTTATTTCATGCCGAAATCTAAATTTGTCTCATTTAAAACCATTGTTGCGAGTTCGCTCCTGGTTGGATAGTTTGAGCACCTTTGTAATGTCCCCTTTGTTTAGCCCTGACTTCCATTTATACACCTCTATCAGGTCGGGTGACCTGGGTGACCTCACCTGACCAAGACACCTGGGCATGACCACACCTGAACACGCTGTCCAGATCTAACCAGTTTAGTGATAATTGGTTAGAGGTCAAAAGCCGGCTGGGCCGACCCCATATAAAGGCCCTACAGTCCTGTCCATTCTCATTCTCACGTTGATTCTGATACGGCATCATTCAGAGAGGTTGGTCATTGAGAGGTCAGTCTGTCCACTCGCACAGAGTCACGCTCGTCCCCTCCCCCCAGGTCGGGGGGGAGACTTCACGACGCCCCCAGCTAAGCAGAGTCCCGCATACGAGAGCCCAGCCAACACCCACTGGGCCTACGTCAGGTGTACACGTGAGTCATTGTCAGAGCAATCTCTTGGGTGAGTTACCTACTGTGGGAAGTGTATTCATTCATGTTGTGTCCGAGAAGTCAGTGTCGAGTAACGTAAAACATAATGTGTTAGTACCCCGATATAATAGTGATATTAATGTGTCCATGTCATTGAGTGAATTAATAAATGGTTGTATCGAAAAGGTGTTTAACAGGTTGTCCCTTGAGAAGAATAGATTTGTGTATTGACATATAAGATAAGCGTGTTGACTCTGAGTAAATAACACAAGCGGCCACGCTACCAAGCTTCTCTCTTTACATTCCTATTCTCTATACTTCCTACATATGTGTAATCCTCTTCTTGCAAGTTCTGTCTCATTATAACTACCTGGGGAATTAGGTTGGGTTAGGGTATATTAGACTAAGTTAAATTAGGTTAGTTAGGTTAGGTAAGAGTTAGAGTATTTAATAATCGGGCGAAACAAGCTGGGGTGCCTATTCTTCACATGATCTGCATACTTGGATATTGAGTAATACTAAAATGACTGTAATATATGTTTTTGCACGAGACAAAAAAATCGTATTTGTTTGGAAGCTGAGAGACGTTGGTAGGTTATTGTCCATCCCTGTCAACAATAATCATGAAATATAGATAAGTTCCTTATTATTAAGGTATCGGGAAGTAAGTCATGCGCTCATAGCCAGTTAATCACTCACTGATTTGAATGGTGTCCTGTACTGAAGCTACTCGCCCTGGTCTCGCTCCAACACTAGCAACGTTTCTGTCCACTTAACTTACTACTAAACATTTGAATATATTGACATCGTGATGGAAATCCCTGCATGAATCTACAACTGCCTAAGCACGTTCAGTGCGTTTTGAGGGCAGACATACATTTTATGATCGAGATTGTTTTAATTTGCTGCTGAAGGGCAGATCCTGGGGGATTGGACCCCCCTTTTCGTCAGAAAATTCGAGTATTTTTTCTTTAATGCAGTATTGTACTCAGACATTTTTGTTTAGTAAAAAAGTAATTACTATTGACCTCAGAATATCTCCTAATATCAAGTGCGCGTGGCATCAAAATGACCATGATATTGGTCAGATTTAAAAAAAAAATTCTGGCGGCGGGGATTACAGTCCCCCCCAAAACCCCACAGCTCACTATGTTCCCCCACCCAGAACTACTTGGACCCTTTCCCCCATTGATATTCCTGAATCCGCCATTGCTGCTGTTGAAGTTTGGAGAGTTTGTAAAAGTAAATACAACACTTGGTCAAATATCACTTGCCCCCTCGCAAAGTTAGCATCCCATTTGTACTTGGCTGAAAACCTCATACTCTTGGCCTGGGCATTCACGCAGCCATTATGTTAAGCTCTGTAGAGTTATAGGTGTCCCGTCTGTCTGTTGGCAGGTGGTTGTCACACGGTAAGTGACGTTATGTTGGATGCGTTGTAGTCAGACCCACACACAGACTCTCCAAACATGGTCGGTAACCCTCTTGATTTTCACCTTGGCTTGGGTTTTCTGCGAACTTGTTTACAGAAACTGATAAAACCATTATGAAGTGTGACAAGTAGAGATATATCATGGTAAGGGTAAACAAATAATTCATTGAAACATTGACTTTATTCAATTGAACAGTGCAGTAAGAAGTGTAGTGCTGTGAGAGGTAGTTGTATGGTGTCGTCTTGTACAGGTGTAGTCATGTCTGATGCTCCAGGCCGTCCAATACGTTGAGATGTTAGACAACATCAACAAGTCTACAACTTCTGGGAGTAGATTCATCTGCACTGAATATTAATACAATATTGATGCACCTCTCATCCAACAGCTGCTGGTGGCGACATACCAGCTCAGCACTACTGGGTATTCTTTTCTCTGGCGAGAGCCAGAAACACCATCTTGAGTCCCTCCAACACTTCCTGCCCCGTGGGCAGAATCTCATCGGGTTTCAGAACGAAGGTCTTTTTACTACGTAGCTCAAGTGTATAGGCGTACTTGGCCTTGAGAATACCCTTGGCCCAGTCTTGGGAAGTGCCAGACGCTGGGTACAATTCATTGGCGTTCATAATCTTGTATGTCTTGTCATGAACCTTGTTGACAGTGTTGACGAACAATTTCCCAAGATTCTCCATCTTCTCCTTGTATGGTGCTGGGTTACTGGCGGGGCCACCGTAGGGATAGAGCAGCAGCTGGCCGTAGCTGTGCACTGCCATCACCATTTGGAGGGTGCCTGTGCTGTTCACCTGCAGCATTGCTTCTCGCAGGGCCTGAGTCTCTGGTTCAGAAAAGGCAGATGTTCCTCGATAAGTTTCACCGCAGGGATGAGGGGAGGCGCCCACACCGTAATCAAAGTCCCAGTTACGGTTAAGATCGACGCCGTCACATGAGCTGTCGGGGTTGTTTCTGCGGTTCTTACGCCAGAGGCGATTATTAGTCCAGGTGTGGACGTATCCATCAGGGTTTGCCATGGGCACTACGTAAACCTCCAGCCCCCGACCCATAGAGCAGTCATGAGTAATATTGTGAATGATTTGTAGAGTTACGGCTGGTGAGATCCATTCACGAGCGTGGATGCCTGACAATAACAAAAACAACCTTGTATGAGTTAAAGCTCTACTTACACCAATGTAAAAGAAAAACTCAGGAAAATAACAACTTTATGATATATAATGTGACAGTTCTTGGTCATATTTACTGTAGAGGTTACAGGCATACAAGAAAAAATATCAGGTCAAATATTCAAGTGTTTCCAAAAGTCCCTTCATGGTTGTGTTCACAGTTTCTTGAGGAACTACACATCCAAAACATGGGGTATTGTACTGTATGTTATCAATTTGTGCACATAACTGTAGTCTTCATTACCAAGTACACTGTGACTTACTCTTGCAGAGGGCTGTACAAGTTGCACACTGTACAAGTCACACGCTGTGCGAGACACAATGTGTATGTTGAGGAATTCAGTTCTGTGCAGATAATAATAGATGGCATTCCCGTGTTTTGGATGTGCAACTTCTTCAAGGTATTGTAAACACGACCGTCGAGTGACCGTGAACGACTACATCCCCTACTGGATATCCTTGAGCCTTGGGCCATCCTCATACCTTCAACAGTAAATAATACCCACCTCCCTCCAGCCAGACCGTCCGGCGCTTCATGGCAGAGTACGCAAAACGCGGTGTCATGCCAATCGGTTCCTGACCTGTAGGGAAAGATCTCACGCATCATTACTATACCTTGACCCAGACAATACAACGCCACATGTAATAAGCAGTTTATCAATACACACACAATACATCTCCCCAGATACCACGACAAAATTGCTTTGGTGGTCTGAGGAAAAAGTCAGGTAATTCATCTGTCAGTGAGAATATATAGGTAGAAGTAACTGGCGTAACTTACAGCTGTCTTCAGTAATTTTCATTATAATCTGGGACTACTGGGGGTGTAGACTACAAGGGATGAGGACTACATAGAGTAGATACTTCACTGCTTGTAGACTGACACTAAAGGTTACTAGGGCTGTAGACCACAGCACAATAGACTACAGGGTACAGGGGCCACCCACCTTCACAACCAGAACGGTTGATGTGAACTATCCATATGTCACGACCCTCGATCGACTTGCCGATGGATGAAACACTAACTCTGGGGTGGCTGTTCAGCTGGGCCAAGTAGTACTCCATCTATTGGGGAAGGAGAGAGTTATAGTGAACCATCTGCATGTAATATGTGGGGCAGAAGGTGGGGTATAGTGAACTGTGGGGGACAGATGGTGGGTTAAATCTCCTAAAACGTAAATTAGTTTTGACTCACAATTAACAGGACCCGAGACACTCACTCACAAATTGATAAGGGTGTATCTCCGTTCCGTTTTAATGCTGATAAGTCAATTGTTGGCGCCCTGATGACACCATTACCTTAAAGGGTCACGTCAGAGGCCCATAGTACACATAGGTTTTAAGAAATGTATTGTGTTAATATTCATCACCTGATATGACTTATAAGATACAGTATGCAGGTATGACACTATTACTATATCGAAGGTTATAAGATCAAATCTCTTTATATCTGTTGAATGGTCGTATAGAAAAGATAAAATTCACCTGGTCAAAGGTCATGTAGTTGTCGGTGAGAGGGGCAGTGCAGCTGGATGATGTGCAGGTTTGGGCCCTCAGCTCCTTCCGGACCTGTGACCTCTGTATAACGTCGTTAACCTGAAGTAAATGCGCAGCATTAATGATACGGCTGAAGTTGGTGCAGAGATGGACTGAGTCAATCTTTGGGATTATTTTTGATGCAGTAAAAACAGTTTCAGAAGCTCAAGATTTTGTCCAATCTTCTGGGAAAATAAAACTTCACACTTTTAAAATACATTTTTTTTTTTTGGTGCTTTTCGGATGATCCTCCGATTGTAAAACGGTAACAAAACTTCAAAATAATCTACATTATTTGCCTTCTTTTGGGATAATCAAGAAAACTTTAAAAAGGCTTCAGTCTTTGTAGACAAAATAAATTGTTTTCGATGAAGGTGCTTCAGCTGCCAGGGATATAAGGCACCGTTCACCAGGTCTTGTTTCTACAGCATGCACCTTGAATAAGTTGAACCATAAATACAGTAAACAAAGTCAATACAATTTCAGGCACTGACCCGAAGATATCTTGCCAGGTCTTGGACGATGACCTGATAGGTGATGCCAGCCTGGTCTAGGACCTCCTTCACCAGACCTGCCGTCTCGGGGGTGACCCTGAGGGAGGTTGATGGTCCCGAGTGGTCCAGCGGGTCCACCAGGCCATCCACAACCAGCTGCTGGACCGTGGCTTCGTCCTCCTGGTTCAGCTTCCATACCTGAGTCGACGATCATGATTTCACAGGTAAACAATTAATTAATTTATGTTGAGTTTGTTATATAATTTATCGATTCATCCAGTGTCACAATTGAACTAATTCATGTTTCTTTTTATAGTCACAAGATATTAATTAACATCACTATGAAAGATTATTAATATACTGGTATTTACGGTTATCAATGAAATTATTTGTGGCGATGATAACTTCATATTTATTATTAGTTTTATTATGATAAAGTAAGAAATTGTGCAAGCTTTACTGTTCTCAGACCCGTCCGGCATTACCATAATATATTCTGTGCTGACTGGGTCCATATACTGTACCCGTGTGGAGCCATTAAGCTGACTCATCTGAGTGTTTAGCAGTTAAGCTGACTTTCATCTGAGTGTATAGCCACTAAGCTGACTTTCATCTGATTATTGATCAATTAAGCTAACTTTCATCTGAGTGTAGAGCTATTAAGCTGACTTTCATCTGAGTGTTTAACCATTAAGCTGATTTTCATCAGAGTGTAGAGCCGTTAAGCTTGCTTGCCTGACTGTTGAGTCATGAAGGTTGTCACGCACCTGATTTCCAGTCAGTTCTTTGTAGTTATCAGAGGCGACAGAAGTGACGACAGCCAATAGGAAGACGCCCACATACTGTTGCCAACTCGACATCTGTACCAACACATCTCAGTCAGGATTACCAACACCTCAGTCAGGATTACCAACACATCTCAGTCAATATTACCAACGTCTCAGTCAGGATTACCAACACACCTCAGTATTCTACTCTACACTCTTTCACATTTTCCCCTTCCCCCTAATTCTCAAACTAGATCCGTTTCTAGAGCTGATATCATTTCATCTATCAATGCGGATCTGTGCAGCATCTCCGAATGGGGCGGTAGAAACTTGGTTAAATTCAATAATAATAAAACTCAGTATTTACCACTTACACTTTCCAAAATAGAAGATCTCCCACCAATCACATTTCAGGACGCCATCATTCTGCCAAATTCTAAAATAGATATGCTAGGCCTCACCATTTCCTCTAATATGTCATGTAAGCCGCACATCCACAACGTTGCTAAAGCTGCCTCTCGAAAGCTGGGAATGCTGTACTGATGCCGTATAGCTACCGTACTTCACTGAGCAGTTGTTTCAAGTTTATAAGGGATTTATTCGTCCTAACTTGGAGTACTGCTCTCATATCTGGGGTGGCTCTTCTTCTGTCCAACTGTTAGATAGGGTGGAATCAATGGCATTTCGTCTTATTAACCCTCCTCCTTTAGTTGATAATCTCTCTTCCCTTTCTCTTCGCCGCAATATTGCTTCACTCTCTCTCTCTCTCTCTTTTACAGGTATTTTAACGGGTATGTTCGATGGATTTGGCATCCTGTGTACCGCCAAGGCCGTGGGTTCGTAACACACGTCTTGCCCGCGGTGCCCACCGTTTCTGCTTGGATGTCGGTCACACTAGAATATAACCCATTATAATACATCCTTCATCCTTCTTTCCTCACACAGCCAAACTGTGGAATACTCTGCCTTCTGTGTTTCCACACTCATACAATGTGTCTCATTTCAAAAAGTTGTTTTTCCTGCATCTTCGTGGTGTGGATTAATTTAGTATTTTTCTCTTCTATTTTTAATTTATTTTTACTCCCCCCTCCCCCTTCAGGCCTCGTTGTGGGTTGATGACCTGTGCCTGGGTGGGCTATTCCCCGTAAAAAATTATCAACACCACACTTCAATAATACCAACACATCTTATCATCGCCATCCCCGCTATTTTTGGCTATTTCCCAACCTTGTGCGGGTTAGCCACAATTGAGTGATGAAATGATAATCACGGTTACCATAAACCAGATTTGGTATAACCAGCTCATCTCAGTCAGTATTACCACCACATCTCAGTATTACCACCACACTTCAGTATTACCACCACATCTCAGTATTACCACCACATCTCAGTATTACCAACACACTTCAGTATTACCACCACACTTCAGTATTACCACCACACTTCAGTGTTACCACCACATCTCAGTATTACCAACACGCTTCAGTATTACCACTACACTTCAGTATTACCACCACACTTCAGTATTACCACCACACTTCAGTGTTACCACCACATCTCAGTATTACCAACACACTTCAGTATTACCAACACACTTCAGTATTACCACCACATCTCAGTATTACCACCACATCACAGTATTTCCACCACATTTCAGTATTACCACCACATCTCAGTATTACCACCACACTTCAGTATTACCACCACATCTCAGTATTACCACCACACTTCAGTGTTACCACCACATCTCAGTATTACCAACACACTTCAGTATTACCACTACACTTCAGTATTACCACCACACTTCAGTATTACCACCACACTTCAGTGTTACCACCACATCTCAGTATTACCAACACACTTCAGTATTACCAACACACTTCAGTATTACCACCACATCTCAGTATTACCACCACATCTCAGTATTTCCACCACATTTCAGTATTACCACCACATCTCAGTATTACCACCACACTTCAGTATTACCACCACACTTCAGTATTACCACCACATCACAGTATTACCAACACACTTCAGTATTACCACCACACTTCAGTGTTACCACCACACTTCAGTATTACCACCACACTTCAGTATTACCACCACATCTCAGTATACCACCACACTTCAGTATTACCACCACATCTCAGTATACCACCACTCTCCAGTATTACCACCACACCTGAGGCAGCATAACTTCGATACCTCCCCCTTACCACCACACATGCTAACCCACAGAGTAAAAGGGGACGCCGTAATATACTTCCCTTTACAAACTTCAGTTCACAGGTGTTTCACGAACCCTTTAGAACAAGTTATCTATAAACGAAAGCACTGCATCACATGTGCGGTAATTTATGTCAAGGAGCTTTGTAGTGACTTAATATTTCTTCCTACTTGATGTGATAAATACTACAGTAATTTCATTATACGTTGCTGAATGAAATTGATTCTCTTACTCTCTCTAATTTAGACAAGGGTGTGACGTGAGTTCCGTTATTCATATGTTTTTATAATGAAAGGTGTCTTACATTTCACATGCATTTATTTAGGCCATATGTGTACCTCCCCTCCCTTCCTCTCTAAAATCTAGTGGAGTGGGCCTAGGGAATGTTATTACACACACACACACACACACACACACACACACACACACACACACACACGTTCAAAAAACAATATCGTGCCAACTCAGTATCCCTAACATAACGCCACAATACCAAGCGTAGTAATATTCTACAGGGAAGTCAACCATTGTTTTACGTATCTGCTACCGGATTGAATAAAAAAAAGTAAAAATATCCTAAAACTCATAAAAAAAATTAATCACTTCACTACAGCTAAGCGTCCTGACGATCAAATTCATGTTTTCAATTTTACAAAGTTTCTAGAAGGTAATTTTACCATATGTTTCATAATCTAATGAATACTGTATAGTAATAAGAAGAAATAAATGATACGGACAACAAAGCTACAGGACCTATACGATACATATTAAAATATTGAGGTTATTATTACTGCGATATAATCAACGATGACTGGTATAGCCTTCCCGTTCCCCAGCTGCTGATGTTATACAAGGCCTGCGATGTGTGTGTGTGTGTGTGTGTAAAGTAGTCCAACACCTGAATTTATCTACATAATGAAGTGCATTTATTTTTAGGCTCATGGGCACATTATAAACGCCTTCCACACACAAACACACATTCCAAAAGCAGTATTGTATCTTCTCTAACTTACTCACATGATTATACTACTGAACGGGAATTAAATTTCGTATCTTTAGGTGAAAGTTGTATTAAGTTAGATCCGAAATTAAGTTGTATAATTTGATGCAAGTTATTATTATTAAGATGCTGATGTTAATTTAAGTTGTATAATTTGGATGGAGTTTTATTACGTGAAATCCGAAAGTTAAAGATGTTTAATATGACAGGTAAGTACTGGATCGAAGTTGTCATCCCTGAGGAGTAAATTTTAGCGAACACTAAGCTTGAGAAACACAAGGTGACAAGAGTGCTTACCTTAGCACGTGGGACACAAACAAATACACTCCTCACCGCGCTGCAACTAAACCCCAACTGTCCAGCCTGAACAGTTTAGGAGAAACATCTTGATGAAGTGTCCAGCTGTGTTTACGGGTTGTCAATCGTACGTGTGCTTCGCCTCCGAAAATGATCATAGCTTCTCATTTTATCTATCTCACTTGCTCTACAAAGTGTAAGCGTGCAGTAGAGACTAAACTATGAATAATTAAAAAACAACGAAATAACTAGTAGTGATAATGAGGAAAATATTACCAATCCAAACACCTGGTTGATGGCTATATCAGAACAAGTATAATACATACAAATAAAAAGTTTCGTGATGACCTAACATAACCTGACCTTACCTGACCTCTAGGTATAATTTGACTATTTTATGATAGTAAACGACATCATCAATGAAACAATAAATTTTGTCATATAAGAATTAATTTCCATTAAGTTGTAGCAATAACAAAAAGTTATCCCTATTTCGCAAAAAAACGTCAGTTACTTTAGCTTAACCCATTCAGTGGTAGGGGTTTCTCTCAGCTGAATAAAATCGTTTGGTGTTAGCCAGAATAAAATTCTGAAGTGCGACAATACGTACTTCTTAAGGTAGTGAATCTTTTTAGAAGGGATTCAAAGTCTGGTAGAAAAGTGAGCGTATTTAGTTTAGGTAGAAAGGGAACGCATCTTGTTAAAGTAGAAATAGAACGTGTATTATTTGTATGTTCAAGTTATCCATGTAATGCGTATTTACATCTCCACTCATAAGGAAACGGTAACTTACAAACGTTCTCAGGATATAGAATACGGGTATACGCACCGAAGCATTCATCCACTAAATTCGACACTCGTGAGACGAGGAAGCTATCGACCAGTAGCCATACTGGACACCTGCGGGCTCATCGGGCTCATGACGTTATACACACAGACTATGGTAAATTTTATATACTGTAAAATCCATCTTAAGAATACGGCTGGAGTTCCTTCTTTTATGACTTGCAATTGGCCCCAAGGGCCAATTGCAAGAACAGTCGTTGGGTGTACGACGCCGTTTACGATGACCTTCTTGCCCTGATCTTGTTTCAGTTATACCACCCTTTTGAAGCTCTGGAGAGATCTCGAAGTTTCGATATTTTGAGTACAGCACTAGCTAATAATTCCCACCAGGAAACTTGTTTCGAGACTCCTCCAAAGCTTCGAAAAGTGCAGAATTCCATGTGTTAAAGGCGATATTGCTGAAAAAGACCAGGGCAAGAAGGTCATCGTAAATGGCGTCGTACACCCCATAACCGTTCTTGCAATTGGCCCTAGTTGTGAACGTTATTGATCGTTAAATGAGGCAAGGGATAATACAGTAGTTAAAAGCCATGTAAGATGATCGTGATCGTCCTGGAGAGAAAATCAGTTGTGTAAACAATTGAATGTGGCCGTCCTTGACATTTATTAGTTCAGGCCATTAGACCAATTTTCTCTACAGCCAGCTTATTACTCAAGCTTTTTGAGTGAAGGATAAGGTTTGATTTTTACATAACTTTCTTTAGGCCCAAGGGCCATAAACGTCTTCACACACACGGTCTTGAAACACTATAGTGACACCTTTGCCCTTTATACGGGTATTTTTTTAAGCATTCCGGCCAGCAAGTCCGAATGTCGGGTTAAAAAAGCACAAAACTGTACTATACTGTGTCTTATTTTCCATCGTTTTTTTATGCTTTGACTGTTCCTTCAGTTCTTGTAAAGACAGATTATTATTTCAGTCTATTTTGTGGAATAATTTCATAGGTACTGTGATACTGTTCATTTATTGTATACCCCTACTTATGATAATTGGTGTCCTTTGCTTGCCTTGAAATGCACCAGAAATATTCTAATTAACATCCATTTAGAATTATTTTATTTCTTGTCACCCATGGAAATAAGGTGTGCAGTTAGCAACTACTGTAAACTAGTACCTTATTATTGTAGTTTAGTACCTAACTACAAGACAAATGATATCAGTTCACAAACACAAAAAAACTACCTAATTACTTGTACTGTAAATTAGGACCTAACTACTGTAATTTAGTATCAAATTGTACTGTAATTTAGTACCTATCATTAAGAAATGAATGAAGTATAAACTTAGTACATTACCTTAAGGTACCATGGGTTTTGTATAATGGGAAAGTGGTGTAAGAATAGAATATTTGTATTTGTGAATATTGGCAGAGTGAACGCTCGTGGAGTGAAAGATGCCTCTGTACAATATTAAGAATTATGACAAAATTGGCAGTACAGTACAAACAATACTGTAGAATTAATATGCTTGCCCCTTGCTTTATGAAATTATCAGGAATGTTGCCAGTAAATTATATTACAGTATGTTATTTTAGTATGGAAAATAATTTTTTTTAATTAAGAATTTTTTGCAGTACTGCACAGTATAATAATTTATTTATTATTCAGTGTTTTACTATATGATCAGCTGTCACTTTAATTTGATCTTAGTAAGGCCGGGCTTAAAACTACTAAGTAATTCTTCCTTTCAAAATTGTTGTTCTTGGTGTTTTTAAATTAAAGTAAAATATAATTTAGTGTTTTGTCTTTATCTTCCTTATATACATTACTGCACCGTACTGTACTGTACTGCACTGCACTATACATACTGTACTGTACTGTACCGTACTGTACAGGTGAAATGATTTATCACATAATCGTGTCCAGAGGAAAAAATGTGTATAGATATGATGAATAACTTTAAATCATTTTATCACTCCCAAAAATATATAAATATAGTAAACGAACAACTATTATTACCATTAATATATATATTTTAGTTATTGGTTTGTAAATGGAAGCATAAAAACGAAAGGTAGCAGGACATGATGGTGTAGGCAGGTCTCGGGAGTTTCTGGGAAATGGGGATAAAACCGGTTATTCCAGTAATTGTTGTAAGCGGTATTGAGTGCTTATTGACTTTAAGAAGAATTTAAGAAAAAAATCAACGGGAAACCCATTTCTGTTTAGAAACGCTGCGGCAAGTGTTTGACGTCACAGTACTGGTTGGCCCGACCAGCCATACAGTACATGTTCTCCGAATACGCAAGTTGTGTTTGTTTAGTTTACCTCTTTCATTTCAATTCCAATATCCTTGCCCTGTGTCATTAAATATTTTGAGATACATCACGTGAAAAGAAGCATCTGCGTTCGCAGAATTTAACGTATAATATTTTCAGTATTTAAAAAAAAAGGTCAGAATCGCCAGTCATAAGAATTTGAGTATTAACAGAATAATGATTAGCGACTCAAAATGCCATTCTAGGTAGTGGACACCGGTGTCAGCGCCCGTCCTGGGTGAAGAAATTAAGATGGTAATCCATTACCTGGACTTTAGAAAAACAAGGTTGACCTATCAGTAGTTGGACGTAAGTAATTATCTCGTAGATATTTCTTGGAAATCATTCACTTCTGGTGGAGGAGGACTAAAACGGGGCCTTTCATCCTTAGGTAGGCGGATATTGCTATGGGTTTAAGGAGTTGCGACCCTTCCGTGCCATTTAAGACGGCACACAGAAACGTATCCAGCCATAAATATCATGGAATAGTTTATCTGGGTATATGTGAAAAAATCAGTTCCTAGCGAGGGAGACATACTACCCTCTACCTGGACCAGTCAGCTCAGCACCATCTTGCAGTGTTCTAGGAAGGACCCTCGGCTAAGGTACTCAAGGATGCCAAGGCTAATTTTTTTCTTTGAAGAGAAATCATATTGGGTAATATCGACGCCGTTTAGAGTGTCATTCATCTCTATCGTTGCACCATTGAACCAATTAGAAGTGTTCTACATTTTTGACATTACTATTCATGTTTTCGGGGAATAATCAAGATCCGAGTCAGTTACTGTCTGTCTGTTGTTTCTGTGACGTCTACTGAAGGGGTAAACTGGTCTCTGTTTGCCATATAGCCAAAATAGATAACAGATATCCATTGGCGGTAAGACAGTGTCTCTGATTAATTCGCTAGCCATTGAGAGACGATACGCATTTAAAGAACATGGCATACGAGAAGTAAAAATTATAAGTACGGTAAGTTAGTCTGAAAATTTGTTGTCTTCATTTATGCTACTAAGTGGGGTTCTGGATGAAAGCCGACCATCTACTAAGTTGACAACGTAACGAAGAGACAAATTAAAACCCCAATGGGTACGAAAGGGGCAGGCCAGTGACTCAAATAAATCGCACGCATCTTGATCTGCAATCTGCATTTCTAGTCGTCTTTCAGTGGTTAACATAGTTTATAGGCTTGACCAACTGCTCAAGAAAGTAATTCCCGCATTCACAATACACATTTAGAAAGTTATTTTCTCTCACTTAGCATATAGACGTGTCCTGACTCCTGAACAGCTTAAAATTGTGACACCTAGCATTACATTTATTTACCCGAAGTCATACTTGTACAATTATTTAAGTAATCCGGGTAAATGCTGTTTCATACCTCCAGTTAGGGGAGAAAAACTAATGTAATGAACCACTGAGAAAGTGTGGCCAGGAGTTCCCCGACACCCGGAAAATACCTGACACTGACGTCTTTCGGAAGACGAATAAAGATATACAGTATGTATTAAATGTTTAGACAGCTATATTATAGATTTACAGAATTTAGTGAAAACTTGATTATTTTAACAAGCTGGTTTAATACTTACGGAATATAGTGCATGTATATAACTAATTTTCTATTTAATATTCTAGACGTTTGATTTATGTACTAACTACTTTAGAAGGCAGCTTTTTTTACAAAGTATATCAGAAGGAATTTAATTCCCTTTTTATTCACTTTAATTATTATTTTTTAACTTTTATTGACAAGGGAAAGTGAGCTCACAATTATTATAAAGCGACGTAATTTGCTAGACCAAGGTTCATTCGACACATTTATTACGTATTCGATTACTGTATCTCCTAAATTTCTGTTTATAATAATGGATTTTTACAACGGAATCATTATATAAATGTATAAATTTCAAATTAGTGTAGATTATGTTGCTGAAACACATCGTTGGTTAATAGTAAGTCAGAAATTATAAAGCGTCCTTCTCCACAATCTGTGTTTAAGGGAACAGTAGTGAAAAGTGTTAGTTAGGTGAGTAAAGGGTAATAGTTGACCATCTAGTGTCAATTGTAGGTTTGACTGAATAACTTTAGGTGTGTTGGTCAAGGTGGCCGTTGTTAACAGCAATTCCATGAACAGGATGAGTAAACTTTTAGTTGGGTGTATACAGTACGTGAAATACAGTACCTTTCTTTTGCCATTCAGTATAACAACAAGAGTAAAATAACTCTTGTCAGATGTGTTTGTGAATGAAAGAGTAAACTTAAAACAGTTGCCTCTAGCATAAAAAGAATAATTTATTTCAGCACTTGACAGACAGATATTTTGATGCTTATATTTAAATGGGTGGTAATTATATAGGACTAACCCACGAGCGAAATTGATTGAAAGCAATTATAAAAACGCCTGATTTTCATTGTTATATTATAGTGGACGCTGTTGTAGTTTGTGGAAATATGTTAAAAAAATTATATTTTTAATATAAACGCTACTTAACATTTGTGGGTATGAAGAACAGACCTAACCTACCTAACCAAACAAACCTACCTAACCTTACCTAACTTCCCCGGTAGATTAAACAGAAAGAACTTAACTATGATATGGTGAAATTTGAGGCTTTTTCTAGACGTGAGATATGGTTGCATCGGCGCTATGCAGCCCTGGCGGGTTAGTCTTATTTATTAACCAAATGGGTAATAGTTAAGGACAGTCGCCTGGGTAATCTCTGAAGGAGTTGTTCATTTTTCCACCTAACCTTAATTATCAGGTGCTGGAGGATAAAGTGACGCTACTCTTAGGTACTTTTCCAGCCAAGTGCCCTTAAATGCAAAAACACGTAAGCCACAGTGAGAAGATTTTTTTGTCTTGGCGAGTTTCCGTCTTAGTACAAAACCAAAGGCAGGATATGGTTACGTAGGATATGAACTGTGTTTACTGTGAAAATTTATGCTTTAAGTAGAATAAAAAAGTCCCCCCAAAACTCGAAAAATATAAATTTGCGATAGAAACGTAGTAGGTTAGTGTTTTGTTTTGAACACAATACTTGTGGTACTAAGAAGGACTGGTACACAGAAACTACATATAATTTCTAAAAAAAAAAAAAAAAAGCCAATTTAAAGTATTCAATGTTCAGATCATTTAATGTATTATTTCTGTATACAGTATATTTTTTCAGGTTATGGCTCTTCGAATGTGGAGAGTAAGGGCACTATGGATACGGGCTGCTGCTCTATGCCCTTCTTTTGGCTTAAGTTATGAGCTTAATAGTCTGTGTTCTAGGAAGACAATGTTGTATGGAAAACTGACCTACTGCTCTAGCTACAAATTCCAGGAGGACATTGATGACAAACTGGATGTTAAAGCTAGAAGTTGGAAAATTTTCAGTGAATTACAAGCCAAAGGATTACATAAATATTCTGAAAAACACACAGCCTCATTGTATCAACTCCTGTTAGACCTGGGAATAAAATCATCAACAATAGAAGCACAGTTAACAGCCACTCCAGACATCTTGGGATATTCAATAAAAAACTGGAGTGACACGTGTGAGGTTATGGTCGAGAATGGACTCTCAGGCATCAATATCCTCCAGAGCATAGCACTGTATCCTCAGCTCCTGCTTGTTAAACCCTCCACTTTGAGACAAACTCTTCTGCAGTATCAAGAGATCACTGTTGGAAAGCATAACCTTTTGTCACTTGTTATCAGGTAATAAATTATATGTTTTGATTTGGTATTACTGTACTGTATAGATAGTATTGGGTTAGATAAGGTGAATTCTATATCAGTTTCATTAACCCTTAAACGGCAGCCCTCATCAGTGGATATTGGCTGTAAGGACAGCAGCTAATGTCAGTGGACGTTTCATATTCCTTATGTTCCATTTTTTGCACAAACATTATAGGGGAGGATTAGGGAATTCTTAACCAACATTTAAGGGTTAATTGTCATCATCACTGTTTTATGGCCAGTTTTCAATCTTGCTTGGGTTAGCTATGATTACCTGATGGCATAGTATCCCAGTTGCTATCAGGCAAATTTGAAGTAAGTTATATGGCAAGATGCCCTTCCTTTCAGGAAAATAAGTTGTCTTCCAATCATTAGCTTCCTATAAATGTGGCTTGACTAGTTAATTAGAAAAGTATTTTGCCATTGATCTGTTGTTAGAAGTTTTTAAGGATCTACAATACAGTAAACCTCCATTAATATGGAAACCTGATTATTCCAGAGACTGTATTCTCTGAATTGTACTTTACAGGTGTTTAATTATTATTTTTTAATCAAATTTTCTTTTCCTGTTCTCACACTTTGTATCACAGAAGCAAGTCCTGGTTGGTACTCAGACCAACACTTTTTTCACTTTCTTACCCCATTTCCTTGTTTCTCATGTTTGCCATCTACTGTATATGACCAGCATAAGTACTGTATTATTTGACATTTTATTGTATTATGCTATATCATAAAATGTCTAATGAGCTTCTAACATGTATATTTGGTTCCTCAGGTACCCAGCTCTCTATCTCTTTCCACCTCGGGCAGTTAAGAAGCGAATGGGATTATTAAGTTCTATGTTTCCACCGACTGAACTGAAAACTTTGATCCGGAACAACCCAAATATTCTTACTGATAAATGGGAGACTATTTCAAAAAAAATTATGTATATCCATGAAGTAAGTTGTACAGGTACTGTAGATAATTCAGTAGCTGCATAAGACCTAACATATTTTGTAACTGTGCTTAACTGGTGAATGGTGATGTAGCACCTGTCACTTTGAAAAGCAAATATATCAGCTGGTATATTCTAATATCTTAGCATTGATTTATATCATCAGTCTAGAGCATTTAGTTTATTTGTGATTTTATTATTTATATATTGGCTCTTTCAAGTTAATTCTTTATTCATTTATTCTTCAGTGTAATGAGTATATTGTATAACCTCCACCTGTCTTAATATGACACACATGCATTTCAGTTTCCTGTCTGCATCAGAGTACAGTACAGTATAGTATAGTACAGTACAGTAATTTTAAATGATATCAGGTAGTTTCATCATTTTATAGAGTAAGACATAGCCTTCACAACCTACTAAGTCATGTCCTATCTCTCGTACTTATCAGGAAATGGGATTAGAACAACCACATTTGGCTGCCAGTAAGGCCTTAAGGAAACCTCTGTTGCACATCAAAACGCGACATCAGTTCCTTTACCGAGCAGGAATTTACAAGACCCCAAACTTATTGAGAGATAAGCAGAGTCACAAGAGGAATGCTTCATTGTCTGACATAATGGATACTTCAGATAAATACTTTGCTAACAGGTGGGTGATAAATCTTTGTAACCTGTTTTTGTCTGCTCTCTCTCTTCCAGTGGGTGACAGACAGTAGCACCTAACTATCTGCTTGTGTGTGCATAGTCCAAATATCCATCTTAGCATAAGGTCAACATAATAACCTGAGAAATAGATATTGATAAAAATTGGCATGTTGATGTAATCCAACAACATCTGAGATAAGTTTGATAGTGTTTACCCTTTATATATCATGGAGTTATAGGCCATTTTTGTTTAGTGTTGGGGAACTGTGAATCTTTGTTGCCTTAGTAGTAACTCTGGTTATGGTATGCTGTATATTTATAAGAAAGAATATAGTCTAGGGAAAATGTTGTTTGTGTGCATACAGTATTTGCTGGAGATGCTTGAAACAACAAAAAACAGGTAAAAATCATCATATAAGCTTGCAATTGGTTCAGCAGGTATACAGTATAAATACGTAATGATAAATAGTAGTTTGACCAAGGATAGACAACAAAGCCATTTATATTTTCAGAGTTGCAAGATTAACAGACCTGGAGTACAGTGTATTTGCCTGTATGATGAAGGAGGAAGAGGAATTAGAGCACAGTTACTCTGACGACAGTGATTTCGACGAAACCAATGACCTTGAGTTTGAAGAAATGCCAAGACATGGCAGCTGAATTTCATCACAATGTGTTAGTAGCTATTTATTATGATTGTAGTAGGATTTATTTGATGAAATTATAAATAGTTTTTTGAGATTACTGATTTTTTTATTTAAAAATACAGATGATCCTGTTAAGTCATACAGGGGCCTGCAGCTGCTAGATTAGGTTATGAAAGTTGTGGAAAGAGTGATTGAGAAATTGATAAGGGAGAGAGTAGACAAAATTTAAATGCAGTTTATGTATAGTGTATTGTACATTCATCTATTGATCTAATCCGTTATGGTATCTGGATTAGGTCAACAAGACTTAATTTCATAAGAAAAGACATTTGGGTGTCAATGTATTTTATTACTTACACAGTACTGTACTTTACAAATCATATACAGGTAGTAGTTTTATATAGTACATCCTTTTTTATTCACTAGATTCACTACAGTTTACAATTACTGTATTTACCTTGGCGGCATTTGGAAGGTGCATGTATTATGAAATAATTTAAAAAAATATACTGTAGATGGATTTCCTGATATATTTGTTCATATTACCAAATCATCATTTTCAGCCTTAGTTGTTATGAGTGATTTTATCAAAATTGATTGCAGTGTCATAAAACATATTATTATTCATGTTACAGTTATTTGGCATCAAACTTTGCAGCTAAGTCCTCGGGTAGATTATGTAGCCCACACACCTTGTTAGCTGGCAGGGACACATCTGAAGGTAGGAGCAATACACATTACCATTATTTAATTTTTTGGCACATTGTTTGGTGTAAATATGATACTTAGATCTCCATATTTACATCAGTGTACTCAGAATTATGAAATTTATTGAAAAACTCAGTGTAGTAAAATTTGGACCACATTAATCTCAAGATATCCATTTCTGGTTTTTTAGTCTACATTCATTTATTTTATATTATATATATATAAATAATAATAGCTGGTCTTTTGTTTTTCAAAAGTGCCAGTTTTTCTAAAGAATTTGTTAGTGCTTGAAATACTGCAAAGTCAATGACTTGAGAAATAAAAAGAAATACAGTAGTGCACTTCAAAAAAGGTTACAAACTGACAGTTTAACTTCTTTATAATTCCCCATCACTGTACCCTGTTAAGGGTCATAAGCTTTCAAAAAAAAGAAAGGTCTTAAGTTGTTTCTTGAAGGCCTCCACAGAAATTAGCTGCTTCATGGATGCAGGCAACCAAATTGTACAATCCGGGTGTTGTATAGGAAAAGGATCAGGCAGCAAAAGAACATTCCTGTACTGATCTAGGCTCCTCAAGGGGTGAAGGATAGTCACTAGTATGCAAAATCATTTCAGAATGTGTAGTCGGTAGAATTAGTAGGTTGGCCAAATACTTGGGTTCACCAAACATTAGTGTCTTAAAAGTTATTAGACAGAGTTCGAACTCAATAGTCAACCCGAGACTAAATAAGTGAATGTAATACATGTAGTGTAATAAGACACAGAGAAGCCTAGCAGTACTATATGATTTACACTTGAATCTAGTAAATTACATATATTTGTAATAAAGTACTTAAACATATCTTAAAAGTCATCACACAGGTACTCAATGAAAAACAAATCAGGTACTGTACAGGTATTTGAAAAGATCACCAATTTTGTTCCAACTCTTGGTATGCATGATGAAATAAAATATAAATACTATTGCACTGTATCTATAGCAGTCTGATAATACTGTGTGTTGAAAAAATATGCATTAGAGAAAAAATGCAAGCTGGTAAAGAACTTAAATTTGCCCCCAGCACTCAGCACTACATTTAAACCTCTGCTTCAGCAAAACTTACTTACCTTACCTACTAGCTATAAATATGGGAATAAAGTAAATTCGCCCTTACCAATTTTCTTTGGGAAAGCCAGACCAAGATTGTTCATGATGTCCACAAATTCTTCCTTGTTCTTGGTCAGCCTTGGGTTGTATTTTTTCTCCTCTGCTATGGTTGTTACAGTTTGGCCTGTATAAAAGTAAATTTAATCTGTTAGTGAGGCCATTAATCACTTTCATGGAGTGTTTAATTTTATTCTGGTTGATGTAAAGTATCACATCTGAACTACCTGGTAATTATAACTACCGGTAATGTGATAATGTACATACAGTATTGGGATATTTTTTTCATGTATAAAAGCATTTTCCTACATTTACATAATACAAAAATAGAATGTGTACAGGTAAAACGTATGTCTTTGAGTTGACTGGTATGGAAGATATATAATTCAAAGTTGAAAACTGTAATATACTGTACAGTATTCTTATTATATGTGACCCAGGCTGGGGATTGAAACAAGGACACAGTGAGTGACATGTTTAGAAGTTGGTTATTTTCAACTTAATGAGCCAAGTTATGATTTTGAGGAGGTTTTTGTGGGAGAGAGAAGAAATGACATGCAGTAATTGGGATTCGCTTGGCACAGTCGTGGTAGAAACCCTATAATAAAAATTGACATATGGCTTTCAGAATGCTAGAGGCGACCTTGACTGCAGAAAAGTGGAAGTACTGGACTACAACAATGAGCTGGATGAGGATCAAATATTGGAAATGCTTGACCAAATCATATGATTTTCATGCCGTAAAATACTGTAAATGGTTTTATTTAGATGTGCACCTATTCCAGTACAGTATTATAATTGTCCCATGGTTGTACTGTACATTGTTTCTGGTAATAAATGTTATACAGTACTGTATATACAGTACTGTATAACATTAAAAATGAATATCAAGTAAGCATAAATGCCCAAATTGGAATTTTTTTAACGGTTTTAAGGGCTAGTGGAAGTTGATAAGGATGAGTAAATTTTAAAATCTACAGTACTAACCCTGCTGGCGACTAAATATGAACAATGAACTTGCATCCCTGCACATGATATTTAAAATAAAAAAATGGGTAGTCAGTAAAGATATAGAGTACAGTCTCAATGTTTACTGATAAAAAAAATTTATACTGTAATATCTACAGAAATTAAACTTACCCTTATAATCGTGAGCTGGATAAAGCATGAATTCATGAGGAAGACTCAAAATTTGGGAATGTACAGAATTATACAGGGTTTCTGGGGAGCCTTCCTGGAAATCCGTCCTTCCACAACCACGTATCAGCAAGGCATCTCCGGTGAAAGCAAATTTCTGATCATGGCTCACGTATGTTACACAACCTGACAAAGGCAGAATTATTTTTAGAATTTGTGTATCCAAAATTTTTAATTAATTCATTTGGTTAATAGGCTAGGAATAACTCAGAATTATCATGCAAGGATAAACTCACCATTGGTGTGACCAGGTGTACAGCGGACTTCTAGCTTTTGATTTCCAAAAGTCACTGTATCACCATGTTCGACCAAAACATCAGCTGTAGCCCCTGACACCTGAAATCATATAATATGCGAATAGGTATTGTTTCACTAAAAAATTCTTATTGTTTTACTTTTTAAACCCTTGACTCAAAGTCACTTATCAAATCAGCTCAAAGTTGTGCCACCTTGGATCCCCCACTAAGTTCATTGATTTATTTAATATGATCTAAATACAATTACCCTGTGTATAATATGGTCAGTATGCCTGTGTAAAGATATAAACCCGAAGCCAGGCCTGTGGTTTCTAACCCAAAACCTAGAAAGTTTCAAAGACAAAGCCAAGTCCAAAAGGCATAGCTTGCAGAAGCCAAAGCTGCTTCAGCCTCATACCTGATAACCATAGTGTTTTTCTTTCTTTTTTATTGTCAGGTCTCTGACTTTTGTAGTGTTTTGAGTGCTAGTTAATTCTTTAGAAGTACTGAGGCTCTTTTGAGAGACAAAAGACCAGTTATTATTATTATTACAGTACTGTACTGTACTTGTACTGTAGTTATTACCTTAGCAATGAGGGACTGACAGCCGGGTACAAGTTTCTTGAGTAGACCACTACCAGTGATGTGATCAGCATGGACATGGGTGTTCACTATAAGAAAATTAAATTAACACAGTTTAAGTGTGAGGTAGAAAATGGCTTTTTTTATCTCGGGAATTGCTTGGTAACAGCTTAGAGTAAAAATGCTTAGGGGCTTGGTAACTAAGGCCTTACAGATTGACAGGTAAAGTACCAGCAAGAAGTTTAGATAGTGTACTGTAAAAGTGCAGGTACCAAGAACCAGGAGACTATCAGTACAGTAGTTTATAAAGCTCTGGGATAGAGAAAGAGGAATAAAAGTGATTCAGTATACCTGTACTAGCATCAGTCATCAAGGATATAAAGTTGTAACCCTGTCCATCATATTCCTTTATTACAGTACAATACTGTACAGTTCTTAAATAAATTTAATGCTCTCCAGCCCTCAAAAACCATACGAGTGATTTATAAACTTGAATACAGTATACAGTACTTCATGTTCTACAATAAGTAGAAAAATACAAATTGAAGAAGACAATATATTGTACTGTACTGTATAGTTATTTTCTTTTAAGTGTTGGTCATGGGATACAGAAAACCAAAAGAAAGTGGGGGAAAGTAGGGACAGGAAATGTTTACCAATACTGTATTATGCCATTCTTCAATTGTTCTTTAAACATTCTTCCTCTTATGTGCATTTTGCTCATTTTCACAAAATATATCTCGGTATAAGCCAATTATGAAAATAATTGCATTTAATATTAATAAACGTTGTCATTATAATTTTTTACTTAAGTAGAGCACAGCTAGATGTGTACAATCACGAACAAAAGTCTATTCCTTCCCACCCTGAAGCAGTATCAACCCCAAATGAGATAAAACAGCACCAGATAATGGTCAGGGTAAATCAGTCTCACCATAGGGGGGGAAAGGGGGGACTTTTGTTTGCAAATATACATTATCAAGATACAGTATATAAGTATAATGTAATTGATATAGAATTGAGAATATACACTTACTGACATATTTTAGATTTAGTCCGAGCTCCTTCACTGTTTTTGCATCTCTTTCTGCCAGCTCTATGACAGGATCAATGAGAACCGCATCCTTCGTGTTGGCATCAGCCAGCAGGTATGTGTACGTACAGCTCTCACGGTCAAACAGCTGTGAACACAAAATTTACATATGGACATGCTACTGTGGTAAGTAAACAAGTTACTGTAATATTGTACCTGTACACTGTAATACTGTACAGTACTGTTTGTAGACAAGTGGAAAAATGTTGACTAGGAAACTGCACAGTAATGTAGAAAGTGGGTGATACTGCAGGTAAGTAATGTACTGTAACAAAATAGGTGATGCTGATAAGCAATGGACTGTAACATAAAAAAATCGAGAAATAATTAGTACAGGTATGTATCCATACAGTACATATTGCTAAGTAGCTTAGAGAAATAAAAAAAAAAATATCTTGGTAAGTAATACACTGCACCTTATGAAACTTAGAAAAAACAGTAGGTGGAACATTATAGTATTTAAGATGAATGGAAAAATATCAAGTTCGGTTTTCAAAGTGTAAATACTGTAGTACAGGTATTGGAACCTACTTTATCAGCGAATCATTAATTTGCAATACCTTAATACCTACATACTTTGAGATGTGGAATATTGTTATTGTTACCACTATTCTTTTTCTTATTACTTTATTTTATACAACACTGGATTTGCACTCACTTTTGAACTAAAGTGTTGACAACTACAGTATATGTATGTACGTACAGTATAGTTTACTGATGAAGAAGCCAGATAGAGTACTTAAAACATGATGTACTTCGGGTATTGCATCAAGTTAGACCTATTACTGAGATACAGTAACAAGTCAGGCATGGTAGGTGTGGAATACCCATCTCTGCCAGTTCTGTTAGTGTCACCCCACTTTGACGATTAGGTTAGGTTAAGGTAAGCTGAGTTTGGATCTCTGGTGTAATTATTTATTTGTTAGTTGCACTAGAACTAACAAAACTTACATAAATTGGAGTTAATATTCGTTTTATTTTGCTCTGAACCTGGTGTGTGTGCAACCACAGTGAGGAGATTGATCAAGGGTATCAGCTTATCAAACCCTTTAGGTTATCAGTGAAAATGTTAGCCATTATCTGATAACGAGATTCCACAGATGAAATACTTAAAGGGGAATCTGTTAAAGAGGAGAACTCCAATCAAGGGTGGGTCTAGAGTTAGGGGAGGGGGGTTCAATGACGTCTGGTAGTACAGTAGGTGTAAATGAAGGCACAATATGAACTAGATAAAATAATAAAAATAAACGAATAATATACGTAATTTACGTGGTCATGGAACATCTACTTTATTGAATAGAAATTATCCCAATACGTGCACTGTCTATGGACATGCCTAGTATGTAGAGTACAGATGCCTCCATTTAGAACGGGTACAGTGGCTGGCGTGTTTTGTGAGATGTGGCACCACCAGACAACAGATAGGAGTCGATGACATTCTACTTGGTAATCTATATTAATACTAGAACCATGCAGGAAATGCATGCATACACGGATATGGGGGGGGGGGGGGACTGCTTATGTAGCATCCTTGGGCTAGTTACTATAGCATGGTTATTTCTGCCCATTCTGCTAGTTTTACTATTATGTAAATAAACAGTGATGCACATCTCACAAAACACGCCATCCACTGTACCCATTGTAAATGTAGGCTACTGTACATGACCGTAAGTGGTGTGGCAGTCGAGTGGATACAACGCTTGCCTCTTGTGTTGAAAGTTGTTGGTTCATGTCTAGGAAATCCCCAATACACCCAGCTGTGAATGTGTTTCTAAGTTTTCGTTTGGGAAATGAAAACCGGCCACACTGCCCCTAATGGGACATCCGGCCAGTGGGACCCACTCACCCTTTAACTGTAATCTTCGAGTAAATTAGCTTTAAGTATTGACTGCTAAATATTAAGTAGGTTGCCATTCTTAAAGCCAACATTTCATGTACTGTACTGATACTGGTTTTACATAAAACTTAAGAAAATTTTGAAAGGGAATACAGTACTGTACACCCTCATACGAACGTTGACTGATGGCGGCGAGTTATTCAATGAAAGTGTTTTGCAGAGAAATAAAACTATACTTCAGGTTTCTTTCTTCTGCTTTCTACTAACCTTCAACTGCTCATGGTCAAACCTCGTAGACGCAATCAATAACAATGTTTTATTGAAGAAAGTAATTGGTATAAAGTGGTCTACAGTAAGCAATGTTGGAAAAAAGGTACGAACATACTCATTAAACCATTTACCTGTATTTAAAGCATGTGGATCCAACTTAATGATCCTCGTATAGTTTTGGTTTGATTAGGATAAAATTTTTAAATTCGTATCATATATGAAAAAAATAATCATGGTCATCTTCGTGGTAATTTTTTAACAGGCCATTTTGCCTAGCTGATACTCATTAAGAACGAAATAAACACTTGCCTACATTGTGAGTTGTGTGTGAAGACAAAAACAACGATTACATAACTTAATTTCTTAAAACAGTGCGGTAATGGAAACACAGTGGAGTGGCAAGGGTGCATTTGATTGCGTCAGAAGAGCAGGTGCATGAGGTGGTTGGTGCATGCAGGGAGAGTTGTGAGTCATCTGTGTCAATGTTACAGCGGCCTTGCCTGTCATGTAAGTAAACCACGATCTTATCACAAAATATAAGAGACTAAGTTTGGTGTACTGTGGTAGTTATAACTTATATCTCCGAAATTGTTGGGGATTATGGACATGACTGATGTATACCATAACGTGACCTCATAATTTTCTTGAAACATGGCAAGGACAAGCATGGTTGTGTTCAATGATTGACCAAATGCGATTCAAATTGGCGATATGGCGTTCATTTTTAGATCGTTTTCTTTTAACAAAATACAATACTCTTTCAAAGTACGACACGCGGCCTCAAGTTATAAAAGTATATCTGTACTGTACATTACTGTATTTTGAAATGCCTGGGACAGCAGACCTCTGCTAAGGTAGCTAATAGTTGTAGGCATTCATTAATATTTCATGTATACTCATGATGTGAAAATAAAGTTTATTCTTTCCGTACATGTGCGAGTACGCGATTTTTTTTCCTGAGGGCTTCCGTCATTTTGAACAAGCGGCACCGTCGCAGTTTGAAGCTCGCCACCACTATGTGGGGTACGAGTTGTTTGTTCACACTCAGGATGGGATGGAGAAAGGAAACTCACAATGTGCTCTCTGTATACATATTGTATTGGATGTACAATGCAGCTTAGTGCTGGGGGGTAGCAGCGTGAGTCCAAGTGTGATGTAGAGAGAGCTGGTTGGTGAGGGTGCTCAGAGGAGGACCAGCTTGTGTGTCGCAATGGTCGCCGGCGGGAGCGAAGGCCGCCAGGCAGGAGGAGGTGTTGCTTGCTGGTTGGTGTAGGTAGAAAGAGAGAGAGGTAGGTCACCACGAGGTCAGGTCTTATATAGCGGAGGTAGGCGGCGCTGGTTGACCTAGACCACGAGGCATACACTGGGGAATTCGCGGGGTCGGCTACTCAGCGACAAACCGTTTGTAGGGGAGGTATTCACTGCAACTATACAATCACCTGGTGGCAGCAAGAATTCGTTCTATCTTGGCCGTGCTGGCTAGGTTAGGTTATTATTTGTTTGTATTAGTATCTATGAATGATTGTCTCTTATTCTTTGTTACGGAGTGTACAGTTCAAAATGACGGAAGCCCTCAGGAAAAAAAAATTCACGTGCGGACTTGTGAGCTCAACTACTGAACTTTATTCACACTCTGTATGATTCCGTTGTACAGCAATCGGTATATTATTTCCTTCCTGCCCATACCTATGACCTCTTGACACCCACATTGTTACCTTCACCATCACCATGAAAACTACTAATATAGTACTGTACTATAATTAAATCACCATTTTCATCATAGCTGATATCACCATCATTATTATGATCACACAAAAAACATCGCTTATCACCACCACCACTATTATCAATAGTGATTCATTGCTATTATTACCATCATCATGACTGACGCTTGTTAATGCAGCAGCCAAAGTGCTGTACGTGCAGTCTACCACGTCTTTCTCACCCCAACTTCCACGGTCCCTCCATTCGCCCCCCCCCACCCTCATTGCCGTACGTCACAACATTCTGCAGCTCTGCACAAGGATAAAGAAATGAATACACGTACCATTGGATTACAGATCATATTGCACAAGACATTAGTATACATTATATTAGGACTTTAACAGTGGAGAGGTGAAATATTAATAAGTATGTGTGTGTTTGTGTGAAATTGTGCACGATTCCGTGAATAAATGACGATGGATTTTAACCAAACATGATAAGCGCTCTAGTCATTTTATCACCACAAGATCTAAGAAAAGTGTCATCTCGTTATTTCCGGTGCCACGTTGGGAAATTATGGCTACTTGGACTTGGAAAATATGGGGGGGACTTTGCTTCTAATAATAATGGATTAGTGATCCAGTACACATATCCTGCCTGCGGAAGTAATAACTAGACTCAACCAGGCTGCTTTGCACTGCATTCCTACAAACAAAGACCAAGGCCTGTCATGTCATCACAAGTGCAGTCTATAGGCCTGTTTATCTTGTCTGTCTCTGTGGTGGTAACCTGAATCTCACCAACGGAAATAGTTTACGTTTTGGGGCAAATGGATTTGAAGTTTGGCGGTGTTAAAAATTTATATGGTACCAGTTCCTCACCGAAATACTAATCGAGGGATCTTTAGAGATTTTCGCTATTTATAGAAAAACAAATATAATTTTTAATTCTTTGAGTACAGAGTATTTGCTGTAATTAACTATAAAACAAACAAAATAAACTTGGAGTACGGCTTAACCCCTTGAGCACATTGATTGATTAATCCTTTGTTTATGATCCCTTAATCATTGGAGTACGATATTTCCATTCATACATTTCAGTGTGTGTAAAACTCATTATCATATTAATTACACACTTTTAACAATGTGGACTGTGGATTTTAAGAAAATAAGAATTTATTGACGGAATTAACTTGTAGGTTCGAATTTGCGGATACTTTATAAATTATATTCATATGGAAAGAAATTGCTTTAATAGAATCAATTGTTTTTAGCTTACCTGTCTAAAGATCATGTTGTTGTCCCTCGCTAATGCACTCATGGTCCTTAAGGTGAATCTGATTGGATATGAGTGGTTCCAGCTCTGCACTGTGGCACGAATAACACTTGTGTACATTAAGCTGGCCTGACCGATCCCTTGCGAAGTTAAGACACTTGTTACAGACGACCGTGCGACCCTGGCAGTATCTCTGATAGCTGTGAAGTTGCCAATGAGTGTTTTGTTGTCTTACCAGAGAAAATGGGAAGTGCTACACAATCTTGTCCATATTCTCTGGCCTGGGGTCCAAACGACGAATATTCCTCATAATCGAAGATGTAAGGATGTATCTGATTGACTTAACCAAACGTACGAAAATTACATTAAACAGTAGCTTCAAAATTAAGTTACATTCACTTCGCATCAAATAAAACATAAATGACCGACTGCTAGTGAGCTGACAAGTAGTGAAGAGAATAATTAATAAATGTCCAAGGTGATGACCCTATAGTCTACACGTTCGCACAACACAAGAGTTCAAAGTAATAATTCAGAATACTACGAACTATTATTGAAATGTAATTTATTCCTAAAACTATTTAAAACTGTGTATGAGTCATGACGTACACTTGTTTTGTTTGCAATGTCATACTTTCTCACAACTACTGTCTATAAGGTATCTAAGGCTAAAGGTCAAAGGTTATGGTAAAATTTCGTATGATTTTTATACCACAGCACAGTTTCCAGCCGTCACCAACACTCCCTTCCTCCTGATCAATATCCCTCCTGCTGCAGACAGGACCTGGCATTTGACTTATTAGGGACTTGCCACGCCTTGCCATAAACAGATGTACTGTATCGGGAATTCTCCCCCACACACTTATCCCGCCACTCTATGTACCTTGCCAAGGAATTCCATGGCCCTTCAGGCACTTACACCCTTAAATGCACGAGTCGACTAGGCAATCATGAACTCTGCATGCTTCCTTGTTGAGCGCTGTAAACGGTTTTTACGCTACACCTTGTACAAGATGCAAGGGATTGCCCAATAAACTAGTCCCCTCGAGGGCAAATTATAATTATAATTTCTAACACAGGGACTTGCAATTCCCGTGGACTTTAACTGAACATGGAAACTGGTAACTGAGAAAATGATACTGGAATGACAGCTGGAGGAGATACTATCCTAATTCACTTAACGTCCACTATTATAGGTTTTGGTAATAGTTTACGACTTTGTTCTATTATAAAGAGCTATTTAAGGGCAAAACGTGTAAAGAAAATAACATTTATTATTGGGTAATTTACCGTATTACTGAGTGATGCGAGAACTGAGGTTTCCGACACTCTTGTAGAGATATTGTAGTGGATTTCTCCCCAACAAACGTTGTTTGTCGCTGAGTAGCCAACCCCGCGAATTCCGTAGTGTATGCCTCGTGGTCTAGGTCAACCAGCGCCGCCTTACATGACGGAGGTCAACTACTAAGCCACGCCTACCTCCGCTATTTAAGACCTGACCTCGTGGTGACCGCTCTCTTTTCTACCTACACCAACCAGCAAGCAACACCTCCTCCTGCCTGGCGGCCCTTGCTCCCGCCGGCGAGCATGGCGACCCACAAGCTGGTCCTCCTCTGAGCATCCTCACCAACCAGCTCTCTCTACATCACGCTTGTAACCACGCTGCCACTTCCCAGCACCAAGCTGCATTGTGCATCCAATACAACATGTATACAGAGAGCACATTGTGAGCTTTCTTTCTCCATCCCATCCTGAGTGTGAACCCAAATAACCCGTACCCCACAAATGGTGACCCCCGGAGATTCGCACTCACACAGGATGGAGGAGAAACTGATCACTCTCCCAGTCTTCAAGCAACATGGAAGACTGGCTTACCCACGCAGAGGCAGCTCTCATCGGCTCTACAGCTACTGTCTCTACACCGCAGGTTAGACACCCAAGAGCAGCTCTGCGACTAAGCAGACAGCCGCTCCTCTTCCTGCCCCAAGCACCACGTCCTACCGACCCCAACTCACCCGTCCTGCCTCAGACGCCGCCCCGGCCCAGCAGTACCCCCTGCCGCGGCCCATGCTCCTGAGTGCGGACCCACACACCCCTCTTTTCTCCCTCAGGTACCCCCCTGCTACTGTCCTGCACCCTGCTGCTGTCACGAGCCCTCATCCGCTTCTGCTGACGCAGCCCCTGCTCCTGACCTAGGCTCACACACCCCAGCAGGCGCACCTGACGACTCTGTACCTGCCGTGAGGGAAGCACAACATTCATCGCCTCCACACACCCTTTTTCTCCCTCTCTACTCCCACAGATATTGTGTATCTAGACAGTTGTCTCCTCTTGCGGCCGGCTCATCCACGCCCTCGCCGTTCTGGCTCACATGTGGCATGCACCGCCCGTTCTGCCTCACATGTGCCATGCACCCCTGCAGACAACAAGTCTCCTACACCGCCTGGAGGGAAGGAGGGGGTATTGTAGTGGATTTCTCCCCTACAAACGCTGTTTGTCGCTGAGTAGCCGACCCCGCGAATTCCTCAGTGTATGCCTCGTGGTCCAGGTCAACCAGCGCCGCCTTACATGACGGAGGTCAACTACTAAGCCACGCCTACCTCCGCTATTTAAGACCTGACCTCGTGGTGACCGCTCTCTTTTCTACCTACACCAACCAGCAAGCAACAATTCCTCCTCCTCCTGCCTGGCGGCCCTCGCTCCCGCCGGCGAGCATGGCGACCCACAAGCTGGTCCTCCTCTGAGCATCTCACCAACCAGCTCTCTCTACATCACGCTTGTAACCACGCTGCCACTTCCCAGCACCAAGCTGCATTGTGCATCCAATACAACACGTATATAGAGAGCACATCGTGAGTTTCCTTTCTCCATCCCATCCTGAGTGTGAACCCAAACATCCCGTACCCCACAATATACCCAAGACAAAACCCACTTGCTCTAGGAATACAGTACAAGGAGACATGCGCATGAACCATGCGGTGATTGACAGATTTAAGAAAAAAATATAAGAAATTCATGAGGTGGGTTACGACAAATGATGAGCACTGGTATTTGCTCATTGAACAGGGCAGGAGGATGTATGCCAGGTCCAGGAACCAAACAAATTTAAAGTGCAGAAGGGCTGAAAAAGAGTTTCGGAGGCGGATTGCAAGCGAAATTAAGTTAAACTTAAACCTAAAGACTTTCTTTTTACCGTTACGCAAATCGAAACAAAAAACACGTGTGGGCGTATCGGATCTGAGGCTTGAAGATGGTACGAATAGTTATACAGAATCTGATGAGGACATGGCGGAGGCGCTAAACAAATTATTTTCCGTATTCATAAGAGATGCAAACAATCTTCCTGCGTTTGAGGAAAGCCGTTTTGGCAGCGCTGACGCACATACTGTACAGTAGTGTTCTCAGAAGAGGGTATAATTATAAGAAATATATTGTCAAAGCTAAAGGTTTACAAGAGCCCTAGTTCTGATATGGTGCCTCCCTCCCCCTTGATCAAGCTTGTCAAGAAAAACCTTTTTGGTCGGGTCAGGGGATAAACACGTTCATTTTTCTGAGGTCAGACAGGCCTCGCTGACGTCGCGAAGGAAGGTTGTGTTGCTACTGCTTCGCAGTCAGTCCTTTGTAAGTATTTAGTTTTATTTTCACTTATCATGAGGGAGCGTAACCTCATTCATATGATGACCTCTTGTAACAGACGGGTTCAAACTGATCATGGGGGGGGATCTTTGTTCCGGTCATAACGGAAGGCACGAGGGTAGAGACCAAGTTGAGAAATGTTAAACAGTGTCGATAGCAGCATTCATTTTACGGTAGAAATGGAAGAATAAAGTAAATATACTGATCAGTGTATTATTAATATAAAATATAAGTATACATGTACTGTGAGTGTAAAGTATAAATGTACTTATGCACTGTACTGTACTAGAAAGGGTCCGCCTGAATATAAAAATATTAGCTTCAGCCACAACTACAGTTAATCTGCCTCTGATGGACGGGTCAGGTAGATGCTGTATTATTGAATCCAGGAAAAAAGTTACAAGAAAAAAAGTCAGATAAAAAGGTACGGAAAAAACCTAACTTAACCTAACCTACGTGCAATGCCATCATATATATATATATATATATATATATATATATATATATATAGTGTTGTCAATGTGTACAAGTCTTGTGACTTTTTTCCTGTGGACTCTATTTCCGCCCACCGTATTATTAACTTACGCCTTGAAGTAACTTCAGCAGATAATATGATTAAAGCATTCAATAAATATATATATATATATATATATATATATATATATATATATATATATATATATATATATATATATAATTTGTATTACTAATGAGCGGTAACAACCCGGTGAGGTAATTACCTCATTATTGTAATCCGGGAAGTACAATATTTGTTATTATATTTATTTTTTCCGCAAAACATTTCTTTATTTACAATTTGTTATTATTTTTATATTACTAGATAACTTAATTTACCCTAAATGTATGTCAAAATCTGTATATACGATCAAGTTTAAATTTAGACAAGGTTGTTGCCGGAAGGGTATGGAAACTGGAGTTGCTGATTAGCAACTTCACAAGTGGAGCTCAGTAGTAACGAAAGAGACACAGAGGGTGGAGGTGCTGCCGGTCGTCTCTCCCTTGACAGACGTTTCTTCTTTAAATGTATAGCAAGTTTCATTTTTAAATTATTTATGTGGTTAAATTTATACTTGTGTAAAGTTCTATATATTAAGGTAATTTATTTGTCGATTTTGTACCATTTATTGTAAAAGGAAGGACTACTTTAAATGAAAAAAAAATATTGAAGATACACAAGACAGTTAATTTTTTATTATTCTCAACAGCCGGTCATTTTTCGTTAACCACCCATCACCTTTTTACGAGTTTTCTCTTACCATTTAATAGATCTCTTCGAGAAAGGAGTGAATTTACTTGAATTTTGCGAGGCATTCCAAAAATAAACGATATTCGCGATTATTTGTTGTAATAATCACGAATTTTTTTAAGTCCTAATTTGATGTTATGATGACACGCAACGTCGCTTTACATTGTTGAGGTGGAAGGGGTGGTAATAACACCCCCCTCCCCACCTAAGGGAAAAAAGAAGTAATTTGCCCCAAAGATAAATGTCAGAATCGTCTAAAACAGCAATGTAGGATGTGGCTT